CTGACGCAAATACATGAGTGTTATAGTGTTTTTCAATGACAAGCTTGACAAGATTACAAAACTCGATGAAGATACGTGAATACAAATTGTTGACCCTAACTGGTTTTAAGAAAAAAAAAATTGTGGGGATGAAATTAAATGAGAATTTATTAATAACTTTAGTTTTTTGTACTTGTTTTAGTACAATTTTACTAGATTAATTCTTTTTTGTCATAATTGAATGGTATGTTAACATTGATATTTCTTAAACATAATCTTGAATTATCATATAGATTACTGATTTGAATTTATTAGCTATAGTATAAAACTATTAATCATTATTTATCTCAAATAGTGTAATAATCAATATTTTTCGATTTTTATTTAAAAAATGACTTATTTAGTCCTAATCATGTCTTTTTTATTGTGGAATAAGTACACTAAAAGTCATAAAACTTATCACGAAAGTGCAATTGGATCTTAAAGCTACAAAAAGTGCAATCAATCTACTAGATTCGCTCATCGCGTGGGTTCTTTGTTAGTTTTCGCGCACGGCGACTTTGCCAACGGGAGCTAGGCAGCTCGGAAGAAGCCAAACGTTCGTCTTCTGATAAAAATAACAGGGTTCATCCATGCAGTGAAAATCGATTTCTTACGTGCACATACCACGTTATCTTTTGTCTCGGGGCAACTTCAGTGTATATTCGGCTTCATGAGCAGATGTGTAAATCCTATCGGATGTGAATATGTCAAGCAGGCTTTAACGATCGGTGTTGCTTGTGAAGTCTCAACTCTGAATTCAGGCTAGAAATCTATCGTCACTGGCTCCATAAATAGCAAAATCTATGATGTTCCTCTAGTTTCAACTGTGTTGACTCCGCCCTCCACTTTGAGCTTCAGACGCTGCGTGATTGCATATTGCAACTTCTCGACGCTTTTGGCCTTCAATATTCATACCCAAATTAAAATATCAAACATTTTTACAACCTTTTTATCATTATTCAAATTATGCAATAATGTAGTCCTTCCGGTTCCCACCATTCCCTATAATCCGATCATTTTGACATTTCTCTCTCTCTCCAAAAAGCCCGTATCTCTTGGATGGCCCCATGTAGTGAAGGCTTATCCCCACTCCTAGGGGCATCTATGACTCTGGCATGCCTGATCTCATTGTACTTGCTGTCCAATTTGAGCACTTCTTGTTCTATCACCTTGACCATGCAAGTCCAACCTTCATATTCCTTGGTTGCGCTCTTCATCTTGTTTTTGTTTATTGCTACCCCAGCATAAAGCATTTTTGCTTTTTTGGTCAACTTCTCAGAATTGAACTTGACATTGTTTTGACTGATGTGGCAAAAAATGCTATGCCTATCCTAGTATGCTTCAACTGCTATTGCAAAAGCTGCTTGCTGCTGCTGCTGCTGCTGCAACCATGACTATCACTAGAACAAAACCAATTTGAAAAAGCAGCCCAAACAAAGGGAGAAGGAAATGTAGATTGCCTGTGAGTTCAAAATCGAGCTAGTCATGAGAAGATGGTAATGAACTCAGAAAAAATGGGAAAAAAAAGGCCCGACTTTTCTTTTGCCAAGTGACCGAACAGGAAAACGTTAGTAAATAAAGAGGAAGAAGATTAACTTTTGCAACGATTCAAAGACTTCAACAGAAATGTCTTAACAACAAACAACTTAAAAGTTTTGCATTTGGCTCATTTACTGTCTATGTGAATCCAATCCATATGTTTCAACGTATGTTTTTTTTAGAAAGATCAGTACCAAAAATAGAACATGATTATTAATAGAGAGTGAAGGAACATCTTGTGTACCTGATTCTGCTGTGATGGAGATTGGCAAGATGAGCATCACATGTAGGAAAAGTGGCCCACGTTTGAATCTACTCGAGAGATCAGTGGGCTATCCATTGATGTTGACTTGTAAGACCAAATTGCACCTCTACAATTACATACATTCCCTCATGCACCTTAGCATATGATTGTAAATTGGCGAGTTTTAGGACAATTCCTCGACCTGTCAGGCAATATCTGCTCTTTCAACGAAAAATTCTTGGATAAGCCTCATGTATGGATGCCCAGTTCATGGGTTCTGTCGGATGAGGTGGGCCTCAATCTAATGGTGCATGTGAGTTGGGCTCACACGTACTGAATGCAGGCAATACCTGCTCCTTTCCGGCACCCTTCTATCCCTATCAAAACTGGTTTGGTTTGGTGAGCAATGGTGGTTACTGCTCTCTCTTTTACAAAAACTTGTTCTTTGCCAACTTGTTATGGCGTCTGGTGATTCGTAGATAGTGCGTGTGTTGTTTGCTTCTTGTTTGGGTAATGATCATGGGGAACATCAGAAGCAAGCCAGAGTCGATGGAGCAGAGGAGCAGCCATGGAATTAGGACGAGAGCAAGTTTTCCATCACAGGCCCTCGATTCTGCTTCAGTCTCAGGTTCCTCTGTTTAAGCATTTGATTGCGACAGCTCCTTGATTCCCTCGAATTTTTCACACGTGTTTGATTTTCGGACAAGTAAGCGAGGTGCTATTATGTTGAAACGGAAGAGAGAAAGAAACGAGCCATGCATTGCTTAACCTAATTATAATCTATGGGTTTTTCAGAATCATATTCATTTGTCTACTTCCACAGCATCTCTGTGCCTATTTTTACAGGAAAGCCAGATCTCATGTCATGGCCTGTTAGAATGAAGATTGCATATGATTCTGGATTTGCCTACCTCCACGGTAATGGAATTCATTGTGACTTTAAGCCATCTAACATTCAACTAGACCTGGTTAGTACACCATATGTCAAATTCCTTTCATTTGTTTGCTATAACATACCAACTTTTCGTATAAAATATACCCTAACCCAAATCTCATGAAAAGCTGAGTTAAATCTCAGAGTGGATCATCCTTCTCTGGTATACTTCTGAAGGCATGAGTGGATAATTAGAGTTCCTTCACACTGCCCCAATTTCTGTTGAAATGGGCTGATTCCTATGAATGGGAGCTGATCGCAAAGAATCATTTACTCTATTTCATCAAGATTAGCACTCAATTTTATGAGCTCTTTCCACACTGAGGCTTTTCTTTCTCGTGTCCCAAAAACAGGATTACAATGCAAAAGCTCTTGGGCAAACGTAATTGAAAGGAATTACGAGTTCAATCATACTGGCCTCATTTGTTGGGGGTGCAAGAGACCCCCCATAAATTCAAATAAACTACATTTTACAAATGCACAATTTATATCGTACTTATTAGTTTCAATCATAAATTCGAAGGTATAGATGCACACAGTCACACCTCACGAGCTAGCTTAGTAATGGAGCCCAAAAGAACCCTAAGAAATCAATAGAGAGAGAAGCGTGGTTTGCATGCTTATCCATGCAAGCGTGTTTGGATAAGCATGCTGGATGCTTATCCATAGAAATTGTCCTCCGTTTTTTGAAACAAATTTTCTCTCTTTTTTGTCCCTGGAAAATGTTTTTATTTTCTGTTCAAGTAAAGATTAGCGGACATATGTGAAATTACAAATTCAACCATCTACTTATCTTGAGTTCATCGACGTTATTTGAAGTAAAACAGACTCTTGACGAATATAGATTGACTCTTAAGTCCATATCTTGGGCAAATGTGACGGCCCAAATAGGGCCCAACACATCCGGGCCATGGGCCTTATTGCTGATAAGCCTCGAATGGGCCTTGACCCATGAAGGCCCACAGATGATTGGCCTGATTTGACTTCGTGGACACAATTGAGGCCCGAATGTCCTGCCTCTGAAGGCCCACTGAGGATGGGCCCAGCTTATCCCGCCCACGTGCCTCAACAATGGACCTTCTGTCCAAGTTGCACGCTCAAGATGGGCCCCTTTCGGAATCCGTGGGCCAATCACTACCCCCGAATCGGGCCCATAGGCCTCCAACTTGGGCCTTAGGCAATTAAAGGCCACTAGTGGTTTACGTTAGCTCAGTTAGTGCTCAAGATATTCGGCCCATGGGCCTAATCGCGGGCCCAATTAAGGAACAAAAGTAATGGGCTATGGTTGTGGGACCAGTTTGGCTCAAAACAGACCCAACACATGATTGGGTCATAACTAGGGCCTGACCATGGGCCAACTACGGGCCTTAATGTCACAGTTAAGGCCCAAATGTAATGGGTACAATCCTGGACCTTTGGAGTGATGACTACATTAGCCCTTCAAGCCCCCCAATGATGGAACATATGTCCCCGTAAATATAAATGAATTATATCATACTCTCTTGAAAAATTAGATCGACTTGCAAATCCGTCAATGTAGATACACGAGCTCTTTTTGGCTCATCTTCGCGGTACATAGGAAGAGTGCACTACTATTATAGATAGATTACAAAATATAGTCGATTTCATGAGCTCACTCCCAAAAACACATAGACCTATCGTGAATATAAGTAAATTACATCCGACAAATTTATGTCCGTCGCAGATCTGGGTGAATCGTGAAGACTCCTTGTAAGCAATAGATTCAGTCATAATATTTTGAATACATTGTAAACTTTAGATATGCTCATGATGTTAATGAGCAAATCTAACTTTGTGAGCATACCAGGGCTGACCATAAAATCAATAGTAAGCTTAAGCATGAGTTAGATCACTTGAGCTCATCCTGTACATGCAACATGACCGAGTTAGGCTAAAGCCAGCACTACTTTTAAAACAACAGCAAGCCGAAATATGTTGCATCCGCATCTATGTTGTGCAAGGACTGACTTACAAATTAGTGGGAGTGTTTGCACTTCAGTGCCGCTCTATTACGATTCTGAATCTTTAAGCGTTATCAGTATTCAAAGACATTATCTACAAACTGATGTTATTTCGACATAGAGTCTGAGGGGATCTTTGGGGTCCTGTCTATATATTTGTGTTTGTTGTACTTTTTCGTTATTATTGAATAATAGACGATTCATCGTACTTGGTACACGCATCCGAGACCAAAGTCAACCATTCTTGTCTGGTTCAAGATCTATCAGTCTCATCCACCATTCTATGAGGTATGTGCTCTCTGAGGCTTATCTTATCAACCAATTTTGGGCAATCAACAAACACATACGCAGAAAAGAGAGGCAAATCGACGCGTTCATCGAGCGAAATTAAGCCATGAGCAGCACCAGCACAGAACGGAGGCTAGAATTGCCAGAACTAGACAAGACCAATCTTAACAAGACCATCAACACCAGCCAGACAACGGTTAAGGAACGAAGGCTGGGGTTGTCGAAATCATACCAGAGCGCCAAATTCAAGAAGTCTGCTCGAGTTCGGACGACAACCTTCAACTGCGGTAGCGGCAACTTTCGGGAAATGGTCAAGGAACTCAGCGGCATCCATTCGGCCAGAGGAGGAGGAGAAAGGGAAATACGTCTCGGCTATGTGGATGAAAATGAAGGCAGCCCTTGTGGAGCTGGATTCTCGCATCTTACTTTCCTTCCAAATCACTTGAAATTGCCGAGTCGGGTATATTATTTTCGATACTATGACCTGAGTCACAAAATTGATAGCGTAGCATAGTAAATGATAAAAAAATTATTCTTTTCTTTGTCATCCACGGTATATACTAATCTGTTGATATGTTTATTGCATAATAATTTATAATTCCTCAAAGCTGGTTTAAAGACATGCGTGCTATTCGATTATCGGAAATGTTTCCATAATTGACTGAAAAATTAACTTTTATAGATGGCAGCAATTTGAAAAGATAAACACAAAATCTTACAATTCTTTTATTTTTATTTTTATTTTTATTCTAAATTGTGCCGCCAAAGAAAATCTCTTGGACCTTCCCAACAACACCAAACCCTGCATCGTGCCATTTCTCTAGTCGCTTCATTGATGAGCTATCTATGTATCACGCAACTACGTACCATGACTTTTACTGTTGTCAATGACCTTTTACAAAATCACCAAAATTAAATAGAATTATTTCAGAAAAAATAAATTAACCCAGGATTGACAAAGTTGGGTTTGGGCATTAGGGGATTTCCAGTTCAAAAACCAGATATCACTTGTTTAAATTTCACTAACTGCATGTGAGATGTTTTCGGCAGGACTACCTACATAGGCCAAAGGCCTAAAGTTAATCCATCATGGGGCTTAATTACATGATGTTTTATGGGCCTCCAAGTAGCTGAGCCTTTGCATTCGTGCCCTTGAATTTTTAAAAAAAAATTATTGATTAGGACCATGTTGAAAAGAATTCCTCTATTCAGGTCGTTAATTGGTGAATGATGAATATGGATATCACTGATATCCACATCTGTAACCCATCAATTCAAAACTTAGCTCCAATTAGGGATGGACAAAAGTATGACTGAATTAGATCTGCTAATGACTATTGTCTATCAAAAAGAAGAATTCAAATCATTAAATAATGTTCTATAACGCATGAATGTAGTCAACCTATATGGTAGTCAGCAAGATTTAAGTCCTCCAATTGAATTCTGGGCCTTTGTCCCTAGTTCATCACTAATCAAAACAGGTCCTTCAGTTGGATTTTTAGTTACTACAAACAAAGTAAAAGAGTTTAGTTTTTCATCTCATAATCAGATGGGAAGAAATAGGGTCATGTGTTTTTCCGTCTCTTAGAGAAGATGTCCTCCAATTACGCCTCTTATTGGTGGTTACATATATTAAAAGTGGGTGATATTCACACCTTCTAAATCACCAATCAAAATATGGCCCAAAAAAAAAATAAACACTACCTATAAAAGATATGATTGGAGAAAAATATTGTCCAAATTTATTGTTCCATCCATGTATTTATTAGTCTTGCATAATCGTTTCTCTCTCTCAAGAAACCAATCTGATTACATTCTACTCCCTTAATCCATGGCAAGTAACTTGGTTTCTCTTTTGTTCCGGCGATATCTCTTATCCTCCTCGGTGGTCGAAATTCTGTAGCCACCACCGCTCGAGTTAAAGTATTTCCCGAAGGTATGCACATGATTAAGCAATAGGTCTCAGAATGATTGATCAGTTTTCTTTTTCTTTTTCTTTTTTTTGGGCTGACTGCAAGGTTGGTGATGTTCTTTGCTCCAGGGATTTCGTAGATTACAACAGCTGCAGGAACTTTTTCACTGCAAAAAGTCAGATGAAAAGCGATTTGTTGAGGTCCGAGGGCACGATGGGTTCATTTGGAGGAAGTACGGTCAGAAGGAAATCCTTGGATCCAAGTATCCAAGGTGAGTTTAGAGACGATCACTTCTCTAATTCTGAGGTCTTGAAGCTCCATCACCACAAAGATTCACTAGCACATTATTCCTTTGAACTTGTCCTTCTCACTCCAAGTCCAAATTCATCCCCAGCACGTTACATTGGTGGACTTGAGATAAGCCACATCCTTGAAAACATTAAAGGGAAGGAACTCGATACTTGTCCCCCTTGTTGTGTGATAGGAGTAGAGTCAGCCATCCTTTTCTCAGGTCATGACTGTCTAGAAACGCTTTCAGTTATTAACGGCTAGTTCAGTTTGGCAGCTTTTGACGTTGCTATCACATTTATCTTCCTTAGCCTACTAAAGTTTGACATGTAATTGAGCACTTTTGAAGTGGCTCGGCTATGAGTGCACACAAGTTCTATTATGTTTTCTTTGGCCTCTATATCTAGCTCTCATTGATAATTTTCCCACACTTCATATTCAGGGACTACTATAGGTGCACTCATAGGAATGTCCAAGGTTGTTTGGCTACCAAGCAAGTGCAAAGATCCGGTTACGACCCCACTGTCTTGGAGATCACGTACCGGGGAAGACACACGTGCATTCACGACCCTACTTCTGTCATCCCTCCTCCTCCGTTGCCTGAAAATCAAATTGATTCCAATGCCTCCGTCGACGCCACCCCTCTCCAAATCATACAACCCCAGCTCCAACAGAACCAAACCCAATCACAAGACATTGCGTTCCACTTCCTTAGAGGCCGCACAGTCATAACTCCGAACTTGGACTCCAACAATGACAATCACAACTCATCTTCTTCAATGTTTGATTTCCCTCCCACCCGGGATGATATTTTCGGCGTCAAGTGTAACAATAGCAACTTCTCTAGTGCTCCTAATTTCTTGTCTGCGTTAACTTCCGGGACGAACTACTTCTCGGTGCCTCCAGCAAGGTTGGACGGTTTCCATGTTGGCACTCCAAAATCCGAGCTCCCTATGACTATCTGGGCCACTATCTTAGGGAACAACTCTCAAGCAACGGTACGTTCAGATTCAGATCTTCCGCTTCGGGGCGTGGAGTTATCTAACAAGAACATTTCCTTTGAGAAAAAATTATCAAAAAAGTCTTAAACTTATTATATTTATGCCAATTCAGTCCTAAACCTTTGAATTGTGCCAATTCAGTTATAAACCTTTTGATAATTTGCCAATTTAGTCCTTGCGGCCAATTTTGGCCGAAAATTGCTGACGTGGACGTCAGCCATTCTACGTGGCAAGGCCTTACGTGGACTCGAGATATTATTTCAACACTATCAATGTCGTTTACACATTGAATGTACTAACGTTTTTGTAATTGCCTGCTGCTTCAGGAAAAATCAATCTCTGATCAGCCCGTCACTAGTTCAGATGATACATCCATTAGTTTGGGTTCGGGCCTCTATTCTCATGCTGCTGAAGATCAGAAAGGTAGCTTTTAATCTTCAAAGAATCATTACATGTTAAATGCTTTAGGGAGAAGATTTGCAACATGACACTGATATAGCCTTAGCCCATTCAATGTCAACCTTGGTTTATCCTAAAAGATAAGTTTTCTAGTACTCTTTGTTTAGACAATAGCATATTGCTAAGCTGAAGGTGACTTAAGAGATGAGAGTTTTGACTGTGCTTGCGAGATCACTATGTTAATGCTTCGGCCAATAAAGTTGCCTTTATATATGCATCAAAGTACTATTGTAGATAGTATAAAGTCTAGAAATTTCCAAAGAAGCACTTCTTGTGTAATGGGAATTAATTTGGGCTAAAATGGGCCTCTCTCTCGCTCAACTAAACCAAAGTCAGATAAATGGGGTGACTAAGTAATTTCGTTTATGGTGAACAGAGGAACTGACTTTGGCTTTCTGTTTTCAAGTTGTGTGCACTTAGATAAGTGCAGCTGCAATATCATGAAATGTGTTTGATAAATTACGAAAAGAAAAGTTTTTATATATCCCGGGGTAGATTATGAATAATGATTGTGCCTTTGCCCCGTGAATTTGTTTCTATACAAAAGTCAAGCCGTTATTTGGGATCGATTTGGTTCACACAAAGGCAGGCTATGTCACGAACAAAGGATCACTGTTGAGTGATCTGAAAGAAGAAGAAAATGTGATGGTGTCAAGTGAAGCGGAAAGACCAGTAGCTATGCAGAAGCAAAGAGCAAAAAGTGATTTTGTGCCAATGCAAAACACTCGAGATACAGAGACTGAACAATTTCCTTGGCTAGTGAAAAAGGATACCAATCCTCATCCTGCTTTGGAAAAAGTTCATTCGCTTTCATCACACTCAGAATCGGAAGTTGGTTCACATTGCTCAGAATCAGAAGCTGAAGACACGGATAAGATGATGAAAGTCGAAGCAAGTCTAGAATATCATAAGAGAGAAACATCGGAAAGTGCAGTTTTGCAAATGCGGAACACTGTAGAGCCAGAGGTTGAACCCTTTTCCTTGGAAGTAAACAAGGACACTGCTTCTGAGGAAGTTCATTCATATTCCTCGGAACAAGAATCTGAAGTCGATTTATATTCTTCGGGACTGGAATATGAAGTTGGGGATAAAAAGGCGAGGATAGAAGCAAGTCCAGAATATAACGATATTATACACATACCAAAAATGCAAAAGGAAAGTTCTCCACACGCTACTTTGGATAATACCGATGCCTCAATTGATATGTTAGGGGGCAGTGGAAAACAAGAAGGGAGACCATCAGAAGGATGGGGTGCCATTAGCTATGATTCTATAGTTGACCATCTCATCAAGTCCATAAAAAAATCTAACATTGAAAAAATTGGAATATATGGTAGAAACGAGGTTGGAAAAGCTATTGTCATTGAAGCTTTGAAGGAATCTGCAATTTTGAGGAATCTATTTGATAGAGTCATCTGTATTACTGTTCCTCTGAATTGCGACATGGAAAAGGTGCAAAAGGAGATTGCTGGACAAATATCTTCTGATTTAACCGAAGCCAATGCAGTTGATATGCAACATTCGGTGGCGAATGCATTGGAAGGCCTCAAGGTTTTGCTCATTCTTGTCGGCATTAATCAACACATTAAGCTGGAGACAATGAGAATTCCTGATTCAACACCACCAGTTGGTAGCAAGATAGTCTTTGTGGCTGGATCAGGACAACTGTGCGATGAAATCGAAGTGGATAAGAAAATATGTTTGGATGATCTGTTGCTGTGTGAATTATTTCGTCAGAATGTGGGTGATGTTGTTTATTATTCCAAAAAAGTCCTAGCTAGGGAAATAGTTAGGATGTGCAGGCCATATTCGCATGCTGTCATTCTAGTGGCGAGGGCACTGCAAAATGTTGATGACATTTTAATCTGGAAACGTGCGCTTGAGAGACTGACTGTTCGACCTACTAGTCATGAAGCAGGTATAGAAGCTCTTATGGTTAATGTATTAAGATTCAGCATTGACCAACTAGAAGATGATAAAACGAGAAGATGCTTGAAAAATCTTGCTCTTTGTAACAATTACCATGAGATTGCATTTGACTCTGCCATAGGCCTGTGGGTCAGGGATGGTATTGTAGACACCCATGATGAAGGCCAAAGAGTCCTAAAAGATCTGGTCAATGCTAACCTGGTCGAAGTTGATCAGAATGGGCAATTTGTGAAGTTTCAAGATCATGATCAAGATATATTAGTGAACTTAATATTTCAACCCGAGGAAAATCGCGTGTTTCTGTTGCGGGGTGGCTCGGATTTGACAGAACCACCAGAGGTTGAGGATTGGGAGAGCGCAAAAGAGATATGTTTGATGCATACCGGGATTTCTGAGCTACCAAAGGAACCAAGGTGCCCATTACTTTCATCGTTATGTCTGCAAAGAAATTACAAGCTGAGAAAGCTTTCTTCTTCATTTTTCAATCAGATGCCTGCTCTAGAAGTTTTGAATTTGTCCAGAACCCGCATTCGGTGCTTGCCAGAGTCCATATCTCAACTTGTCAGCCTCAAAAGACTTTTCTTGAATGATTGTGTCCTTTTGAGATCGATATCGCCAGCAATCGGAAGGCTCAAGCAGCTGGAGGTATTTGATCTTGAGGGGACAAAGATTAAGAATCTTCCCCAGGAAATTGAATGTTTAATTAATCTAACTTGTTTGGGGATCTCAATTTTTGGAACTGAACCTTCAAATGACTCTAAAACAGTGATTCCTCAACGGGTAATATCATCTCTATTACACTTGGAAGAATTGAATCTTGATGTGGATGCCGATGCTGAATGGTGGGATACATGTGCCGAAGGTGTTGTATCTGAAGTTTGCAACTTGAAAAGGTTAAGCACTGTCAAGTTCTTTCCTACATTGAAACTTTTGAGGCAGTTTAATCAGCTTAGGAAATCGATGGAGCATCCATCTTTAGCTCAATTTAGACTTCTCATTGGCAATCAGGCTAACCGCATTATGAATCAACTACCATCAGATATTGAATTCGAGCTGGAGCAGTGCAACCGATACTTGAGGTACACAAATGGGGACGGTGTCTTCACAGATATTAAGGACATCTTGCAACAATCAGATGCTTTTTTCTTAGAAAGGCATGCTAATCTCAAGAAGCTGTCTGAACTTGGGATAGATAGCATAGAGCAACTCAAATGGTGTGTTCTGGGGGAGTGTAATGAACTTGAAGTGCTCATGGATGCATCTGATACCCTTCATCAAGAGGCTTTGACTAAATCTCACTGCAAAAGCATCTGTCTTGAATCGCTCGAGTTTCTGTATGTGTATTACATGAGAAACTTGAGAAACATTTGGAAGGGCTCAGTGCAGAAGGGATGTTTATCTTCTCTCAAGTTGTTGACATTGTGTAAATGCCCCGAGTTGACAGTTATTTTCTCACACGAGATGCTTGATAATCTCAACAATTTGGAAGAGGTCACTATTGAGGACTGCCCAGCCATGAAAAGCCTAATTAGCTGCCAAACTTCTACTGGCAAAGTCCGTGAGACATCTTACTTCCTCCCTATTTTGAAGAAGTTGTCCCTCCATTACGTACCAAAACTTTCCAGTATATCCTGTGGGCTACTGATCGCACCGAGGTTAGAAAGGTTGAGTTTTTATGACTGCCTGAGTCTCAAGTCTCTTTCGACCGATGAAGTTTCCAGTGAGCATTTGAAGAAAATCAGGGGGGAGGGGAGTTGGTGGAAGGACTTGGAATGGCGCGGTTATAAGCCAGATCACTTGGACGGTATTTTCGTCCCAATTGATACATGCGACGTCCCTTAACTCTGTGCGCATGCATGATTCTGACTGTTGGAACTGCCTAACATGTCAGTGGGAACTTCAGTTGCTTAATGACTATTGTATCGAATCAATATCGCTAGTTAAACTTTGAGAAGTCCTGCCTACATAATGGCAAGCCTTACTAGCTGACTTTTCTGTGGTTTATGAGTTTCTTCCACTGTATATTTCCTGTCGTTCAAAGAGATGATCGTGAGATAAAGAATGACTGGGCAGGGCTTGAATGGCCAGCATTAGGTTGGTTTAAGTATCGCTAAATAGTGGAATAGGAGATCTGCACTCGAAGGAATTTTTTTTCCCTGTTTGCTGGATTTTGCTTGTAGCAATCAACCTGGACATTAGAATGCCAACCCTTGGTACAGCGCAGCACGGAATGCAGAAGAGCTTTCGATTCTGCTTGTCCAGCCGAATTGGTTAGAAGCCTGCATTCATTCCGTTCACAAAGCAATCCCTTACTTCCTGTTATTAGAACTTTGAAATCGCAAGCTCTCTCTATCGATGCATATGTTCCACCCACGCATCATTACAAGACATCACCAGGATCTTTGGTCCGACGACTTCTAATGAGCAAATCCAAGATATTTCTTACAGTTGAGAGATTTGTATTGAAAGTTGTCAAGATTCTCATTGGCTGGTCAAAAGCAATAAATTCTTGCTCAATGGATGGTTGTTGTTAGGAGGACTTGGTATGCTGAGTTGAGGCCAAGCACTTCGCATCTAGATTATTTAGATGGGCTTAAGTACAAAGCCATTTACATTTACCTAATAAGAACGATAATTAAGAAATGGGACCTGGAACCTACCATGGGAACAAGTTCCTCATTTTTTGGAACCTGGAATCTATCATGCATATTTTGGAACCTAGAACTTACCATAAAACAGGTTTCAGGGTCGGTTCTAGGGTCTTCCTAAGTTCCACCCGTATTATTAATTGAACAATTGCAGTGAATCATCACCTTTAATAACCACCACTTACTTCTACGATCTATTGACCACAACTTATATTTAGACATATGAAGAATATGAAACATTAACAAGTCATAAAATGAAAGCTCAGACTAGTAGTTCCAGATTATACACTCATTATCAAACTCCATGGAACATTGCAAGATCACGCGAAGACATAGATCAAGAAAAAACACAAAAAGCTTGTTTAAGATTTAAGGTTTAAAGTTACAGGTTATAGGTTTCAAGTTCCACTTACCTAGAGCCTAAAACCTACCTGTCAAAACAAGTTCCCCAATTTTTGAAACCTAGAACCTACCCTGCATACCTTAGAACCTGGAACCTACAGGTTTCTATCGGTTAGATTCTCAGGTTCCAGGTTCTTCCTACAACCATGCTTACCCCTAAATTTGATTATGACATTAGAGAGAGAGATGGTGCGTAATATTAGCATGTCCGCTCTCATCAAAGAATTTGATTTCTAGAAGCAAGCATTTTATCCCAAATGTCCAAAGGAAAGTCGAAAAAGGTAATGAGGATACCTCGTGAATATAAACAACGATAAACTCAACCCTCAAATTGGCGCAATTGATTGGCGAGTTAGGAGATTTTTCAGCTCAAAAATTGGAGGTCACGTATTCAAATTCCACCAAATTCATGCAACTTGTTATGGGACATTGTCATTTGCACAGACAAAGTATGGACTAAAGCAGTTTATGGTACTTGCAGCATGTTTCGTAAGCCTTCCAAAAGTCGGGTTTTCAAGTCCATATCTCCGTAGTTACAAAAAAATAAATCTCTATTTTCGATGGAAACTTCTTCGAGTTGAATTGAAAGCAATTTCTCTCAAATTCCTCCACAGCCACGAAGTACAATTATGTAAAATCAAATTAAAAAGGTAGACTTGACTCTTGAGTCCACATCTTAGGCAAATGTGACGGCCTAACTAGGGCCCAAAAAATCCGGCCCATGGGCACTTGTTAATAAGCCTCGAATGGGCCTTGACCCAAGAAGGCCAATTGATGATGGGTCTAATTTGACTTCATGGGCTTAATTAAGGCCCAAATATCCTGTCAGTGGGCCCAGCTTGTCCGGCCCACGTAATAATGGGCCTTCAGTCCAAGGCGCACACTCATGTGGGCCATTTTTTGGGATTTGTGCGGTCCAATCAAGGCCCAAAACCGGCCAAAGAGTCTTCAAGTTGGGCCTTGGTCAATTAAAGCCCACTTTTGGGTCACGTCAGCTCAGTTAGTGCTCAAAATATTTGGCCAATGGGCCTAGTCACAGGCCCAGTTAAGGACCGAGAGTAATGGGCTATGGTCGTGGGACCAGTTTGGCCCAAAACAGGCCCAGCACAAGGTTGGGCCTTAACTAGGGCCTGAGCATGGACCAACTACGGGCCTTAATGTCGCAGTTAAGGCCCAAATGATGGGTACAATCCTGGACCATACGAGGGATGACTATGAGGCCCCCGAGCCCTCCAATGATGGAACATATGTCCCAGAAATATAAATGAATTATATCACTCTCTTGAAAAATTAGATCGACTTGCAAATCCGTCAACGTAGATACACGAGCTCTTTTTGGCTCATCTTCGCAGTACATAAGAAGAGTGTACTACTAATATAGATAGATTACTAAATGAGCTCGTAATAATGTTGTGTAAATATACTTGATTTCGTGAGCTTGCCCGCGAAAATACATAGACCTATCGTTAATATGAGTAAATCACATTCGCTAAATTTATGTCCGTCATAGATTTGGGTGAATTGTGAAGACTCCTTGTAAGCAATAGATTCAGTCATAATATTTTGTATACATTGTAAACTTTAGATATACTCATGATGTTAATGAGCAAATCTAACATTGTGAGCATACCAGCACCTGACCATAAAATCAATAGTGAGCTTAAGCATGAGTTAGATCACGTGAGCTCATCCAGTACGTGCAACATGACCGAGTTAGGCAAAAGCTAGCACTACTTTTAATGGTATCGGTCCCAACAACAGCAAGCAGAAATATATTGCATCCACGTCTATGTTGTGTATTGATTGACTTACACATTAGTGGGAGTGTTTGCACTTCAGTGCCGCTCTATTACGATTTTGAATCTCCAAGCGTTATTCAAAGACATTATGTGCAAACTAATGATATTTCGACATAGAGTCTGAGGGGATCTTTGGGGTTCGTGCCTATATATTTGTGTTTGTTGTTCTTTTTCGTTATTATTGAATAATAGACGATTCATCATATGTGGTAACTCATTCAACGCGGTAGAGACCAAAGTCAACCATTCTTGTCTGGTTCAGGATCTGTCAGTCATATCCACCATTCTGTGAGGTACATGCTCTCTTAGGCTCATCTTCTCAACAAATTTTGGCCAATCAACAAACACATTCGCAGAAAAGAGAGGCAAATCGACGCGTTCATTGATCGAAATTGAGCCATGAGCAGCACCAGCACAGAACGGAGGCTACGATTGCTGCGAGAACTAGACAATACCAATCTTAATAAGACCACCAACACCGGCCAAAGTTCGGTTAAGGAGCAAAGGTTGGGGTTACCGAAATCAGGCCAGAGCATCAAATTCAAGAAGCCGACTCGAGCTCCGACGCCAATCATCAACTGCAGCAGAGGCAACATCTGGAAAATGGTCGAGGAATTCACCATAATCCACTCGGCTGGAGGGGGAGGAGCAGAACTGGAAAAAGGTCTCCGCCATGACAATGAAGGCAACCCATATGGAACTGGAGTCCCGCATCTTACTTTCCTTCCAGATCGGTCATCTGGCTTGCAATTGTCGAGACGGGTATATTTTCTTAAATACTAAGACCAAATCACATGATTGATAGACAAATGATGTAGTTGTATGACTCCTCTACTGTTTGTTTCATATAAATTGTCGATTCCTCAAAGCTTGATCGTTCTCCCATTATCTTTTTGAAACGTATTATTGGATTATTGGAACTGTTTCTATAATTGACCGATCAATTTAAACTTTATAGATGGGAAACAATTTGATAGGATAAACACAAAATCTTAAGTGCAGCCCAAGAAAACCTCTGGTACCTGCCCCAACGCTCCCAAGCCACGCATCATGCCGTCTGTCTAACCAAGTTCATCCACGGCGATATGCTTGTAAATTTCTTTTTACAAAAGTATAAAAAAATCCACTAATTAGAGATATTACTGTCAGTTGGGTTAATACTACAAAAAATCTCAAACCGTTATACATATGATAAATTTACCACAAACTAATTTTTTGACTATCAAAAACCCCAAATTGGTACATATATGACAAATTTACCCCCATTAGTTTTCGTTAAATTTTTCTGTCAAATTGCTAAGTTGGATGACATGTGACAACTGATGAGTGTACCAATTTGGGTTTTTGCCCTCCGTTTGTCATAGGTGTACCAATTTGGGGTTTTTCATGGTACTAATCCAATTTAACGGAAACTAACGGAGGGTAAATTTTTCACAGTGTACCAATTTGGGATTTTTCGTAATCAAAAAATTGATTCGAAGTAAATTTGTCACACGAGTATATTGGTTTGAGATTTTTTATGATCAAAAAATTAGTTTTGGGTAATTTTATTACAAGTATACCGATTTTGAGTTTTTTCATGGTATTAACCCTTTGCAAGAAAATATACTCGGACAAAATATACCATCTTTGTAATTATCAGTCTTGCATAATCATATCTCCCTTAATGCATTGGCAAGTAACTTGGTTTCTCTTTTGTCCCGGCGAAATCTCTTGTCCCCGTCCGCGGTCGAATTTCATCAGCCACGAGAAATAGTGTCAAGGTTTCTCCAGAAGGTATGCACATGGTTCAGATTTCTCTTTTCTTCTTCCCCGACTGCAATTATTTCGAGGTTAACAAGGTTGTTTGGTGGTGATGTTCTTTGTTCCAGATACGGCTACAATTACGAAAAAAGCTGCAGGAACCCTTTTACCTCAAAGAAGCGGATGACAATGAAATGCAGCGACTTGTTGAGGTCACCACACCTTTCTTTCTCCCTCTTACGCAATCATTATTTGTTGCCTGTGTTTTCCTCCGTTGGTGGGTACAAGTTGACATAACTAAATACAATCATGAAATTTTTTCACTTTTTTATTTAATTTTCGAGAGGTATTAGTTACGCATTTTAAATTTGTTGTCGATTTTTAGCTAGTGCTCTAGAGAAACCTGACAAGACCTTTTTTATTTGAAAATAGGATATCAAAAGTGTCATAACTTTCATACTATACCCATTTGAGTGTCATAATTTTTTCTTTTCCATTACTTGAGTGCCCTTACTTCTATTTTAATTATTTAAGTGTCATGACTTTTAAAAAAAAACATTCACTTAAGTGCCATAGTTTTTAGATCAATTACTCAAATGCCTTAACTTTTATAAAAAAAAACTGTTCACTACAAGTGTGATGCAATGGCGGATTTCTAACGCTTGTGGTAATTGGTTTTTTTTTTTTGGGAAATCCTGGCATTTTATAACACTCAACTCAATGTTTTTCTGAAATTAATGACACTCAAGTGATCGAAAAAATAATTATGATATCGAACCGAGCATCGTACGAAAGTTATTGCAGTTATAGTATCCTTATACCCTATTTCTTTTTTATTCCTATAATTGAACTCGCGTAAAAACACATGCGTATATTGAAAGAAACAGGTAGAAAGAAACCTGTTATAAGATTTTTTGTAATAAACGCCAAACTCGTCCAACAATGTTGGGTTTGCGCGGAACGCCTATCTGATTGTACTGCCCTGCTTCCATCTCTAAAAATGAGTTGCCTACATAAGTGATCTCTCAAAGTTGCATGCAACTTATCCTCTCCAGACCACTGCCAAATCTAAACCTTGTGTCACTGGAGATCTACATATCTTAAATTTGCCAAATATTAAGCCTATTCCTCCAATTCGAATTTCATCACCGATGCCATTTGGAACTTGCTCTATGATATTCATTTGCTACAAAACATACGCATAGAACGGAGATAAACAGCTAAAGAAAATAAATCAGACAAGAGATCCACACTGTTTGTTTGATACGACCTATATCCAAATGGAGAGCGGGCAGAAAGATTTATCTATAACCAAACGATAGGAGAAATGGGACAAAATATATAACAAGTTTAGGAAATAAATCCTACCGGCCAGGCAGGCTCCGGGCAAGGAGTCCACCTCCTGGACTGGCGAACGACGGGCAAGGCCTCCACGCACTTCAATCTGACGTGGGACAAGGACTGCAGATATTATTTCAACATTATCATGTCGTTAACATATTAAATGTACTGACATTGTTGTGTTGTAATTGCCTACTGCTTCAGGAAAAATCAGTCTCTGATCAGCCCATCACTGGTTCAGTCGAATCATCCATTAGTTTACGTGTGAAAGCCTGTCCTTGTGCCGGTGGAGATCAGAAAGGTAGCTTTCATTTTCAAAGAATCGTTACATGTTAAAGGCTTTGTGGAGAATATTTGCAACATGACACTGAATTATGCCCTTAGCCCATTCAATGTAAAACCTTGGTTTGTCCTAAAAGATGAGTTTTCTATAACTCTTTGTTTAGACAATAGCATATTACCAACCTGAAGGTGACTAGAAGGTGCTATTCTTTTCTTTTTGGAAAACTTACACTTGAACCATACGATGTACCATTCATTTTTCAGAATTACACTTTATCTCTTAGTATCGTATGGAGGAAAAAGATGAGAGTTTTTAGTGTGCTGGCGAGATCACTATTTTAATGCTTCTGTCAATTACCATTAAGTAAAGTTGCATTTATATGCGCATCAAATTGCTATTCTACAAATCGCTGTTACTTCCGAAGAAGCACTTCTTGTGTATTGGCATTTATTTGAGCTAAAATGGGCTCTCCCTCTCTCCCTCCCTTTCTCTAGATGAAATGAAGCAAAGTCGATAAATGGGGTGACCAAGTAATTTCGTTTACAATGAACAAAGGAAATGACTGTTTGGCTTTATGTTCTCAAGTTGGCCACTTCGATTAGTGTAGCTGCATTATCTCATAAAATGTGTTCGATAAACTGTGGACAGAAAAGTTGTCCATTTACCTGGATAAATTATGGATAATGATTGTGCCCTTGTGTCATGAATTTGTTTCTATAAAGGACTCCAGCCGCACTTTGGGATCGACTTGAGTCATGCACCGGCAGGCTATTTCACGAACAAAGAATCACTGCTGAGTGATCTGACAGAAGGAGAAAATGTGACGGTGTCATGTGAAGCCAAAAAACTAGAAGCTGTGCAGAAGCAAAGGGCAGAAACTGATTTTGTGCCAAAGCAAAACGCTCAAGATACAGAGGCTGAACCATTTTCGTGGGTAGTAAAAAAGGACGCTGATCGTCATGCTGCTTCAGAAAAAGTTCATTCATATTCATTGCCCTCAGAATCGGAAGTTGCTTTACATTGCTCAGAATCTGAATTAGAAGACACAGATAAGAAGATGAAGATCAAAGCAAGTCCAGAATTTTATAAGAGAGAAGCATTGGAAAGTGCAGTATTACAAAAGCGAATCACTGTAGAGCCAGAGGTTGAACACTTGGAAGTAAATAAAGACACTGCCTCTGAGGAAGTTCATTCATATCCATCAGAACAAGAATCTGAAGTAGATTCATATTGCTCGGGACCAGAATATGAAGTTGGAGATAAAAAGGCGAGGACTGAAGCAATTCCAGAATATGAGATTATGCATATACCAAAAATGCAAAAGGAAAGTTCTACACACTCTACTTTGGATGATAACAATGCCTCAATTGATATGTTAGGCCATGGTGGAAAACAAGAGAGGAGATCATCACAAGGATGCGGTGCCATTGACTATGATTCTATAGTCGACCATCTCATCAAGTCCATAGCAAAATCTAAAATTGAAAAAATTGGAATATATGGCAAAAATGAGGTTGGAAAAGGTATTGTCGTTGAAGCCTTGAAGGAATCAGCAATATTGAGGTATCTATTTGATAGAGTCATTTCTGTTACTGTTCCTCTGAACTGTGACGTGGAAAAGGTGCAAAAGGAGATTGCTGGACAAATATCTAATGATTTAACTGAACCCAATGCGTTTGATATGCCACATTCAGGGGTGAATGCACTGGAAGGCCTCAAATTTTTGCTCATTCTTGTTGGCATTAATCAACACACGAAGCTGGAGGCATTGAGAATTCCTGATTCAACACCACTAGTTGGTAGCAAGATAGTCTTTGTGACTGATTCAGGACAATTGTGCGATGAAATCGAAGTGGATAGAAAAATATGTTTGGACGATCTCTTCTTTGGGGAATTATTTCGTCAGAATGTGGGTGCAACTGTTCATTCAACTGCTGTTCAATTCCTAGCTAGGGAAATAGTTAGGATGTGCAGGCACTATTCACATGCTGTTATTCTAGTGGCAAGGGCATTGCAAAAAGTTGACGACATTTTAATCTGGAAACGGGCGCTTGAAAGACTGACTGTTCGACCTGAAAGTCATGAAGCAGGTATAGAAGCTCTTATGGTTAATGTATTAAGATTCAGCATTGACCAACTAGAAGATGATAAAACTAGAAGATGCTTGAAAAATCTTGCTCTTTGTAACAATTACCATGAGATTGCATCCGAGTCAGCCATAGGCCTATGGGTCAGGGATGGTATGGTAGACACCCATGATGAAGGCCAAAGAGTCCTAAAAAATCTTGTCAATGCTAATCTGCTTGAAGTTGATGAGAATGGGCAATTTGTGAAGTTTCAAGATCAGGATCAGAATATATTAGTGAACTTAATATTTCAACCTGAGGAAAATCGCCTGTTTCTGATGCGGGGTGGCTTGGATTTGACAGAGCCACCGGCGGTTGAGGAATGGGAGAGTGCAAAAGAGATTTGTTTGATGCATACCGGAATTTCTGAGCTACCGAAGGAACCAAGGTGCCCTTCACTTTCGTCGTTATATCTGCAAAGAAATTACAAGTTGAGAAAGCTTTCTTCTTCATTTTTCAATCAGATGCCTGCTCTAGAAGTTTTGAATCTATCCAACACTCGCATTCGGTGCTTGCCAGAGTCCATATCTCAACTTGTCAGCCTCAAAAGACTCTTTTTGAATGATTGTGTGCTTTTGAGATCGATATCGCCAGCAATCGGAAGGCTCAAGCAGCTGGAGGTATTTGATCTTGAGGGGACAAAGATTAAGAATCTTCCCCAGGAAATTGAATGTTTAATTAATCTAACTTGTTTGGGGATCTCAATTTCTGGAACTGAACCTTCAAATGACTCTAAAACAGTGATTCCTCAAGGGGTAATATCATCTCTATTACACTTGGAAGAATTGAATCTCGATGTGGATGCCGATGCCGAATGGTGGGATACATGTGCCGAAGGTGTTGTATCTGAAGTTTGCAACTTGAAAAGGTTAAGCACTGTCAAGTTCTCCTTTCCTACATTGAAACTTTTGAGGCAGTTTAATCAGCTTAGGAAATCGATGGAGCATCCATCTTTAGCTCAATTCAGACTTCTCATTGGCAATCAGGCTAACCGCATTATGAATCGGCTACCATCAGATATTGAATTCGAGCTGGATCGGTGCGACCGATACTTGAGGTACACAAATGGTGACGGTGTCTTCACAGATATTAAGGATATCCTGCAACAATCAGATGCTTTTTTCTTAGAAAGGCATGCTAATCTCAAGAAGCTGTCCGAACTAGGGATTGATAGCATGGACCAACTCAAATGGTTTGTTCTGGGGGAGTGTAATGAGCTTGAAGTGCTCGTGGATGCATCTGATACCCTTCATCAAGAGGCTTTGATTGAATCTCACTGCAAAAGCATTTGTCTTGAATCGCTCGAGTTTCTGTATGTGTATTCCATGAAAAACTTGAGGAACATTTGGAAGGGCCCAATGCAGAAGGGATGTTTATCTTCTCTCAAGTTGTTGACACTGTGTAAATGCCCTGAGTTGACAGTTATTTTCTCACACGAGATGCTTGATAATCTGAACAATTTGGAAGAGGTCACAATTGAGGACTGCCCAGCCATCAAAAGCCTAATTAGCTGCCAAACTTCTACTGGCAAAGTCTGTGAGACGTCTTATTTCCTCCCTATTTTGAAGAAGTTGTCCCTCCATTACGTACCAAAACTTTCCAGTATATCCTGTGGGCTACGGATCGCACGGAGGTTAGAAAGGTTGAGTTTTTATTACTGCCCAAGTCTCAAGTCTCTTTCGACCGATGAAGTTTCCGGTGAGCATTTGAAGAAAATCAGGGGGGAGAGGAGTTGGTGGAACGACTTGGAATGGCGCGGCCATAAGCCAGATCACTTGGACGGTATTTTCGTGCCAATTGATACTTGCGACGTCCCTTGACTTTCTGTGTGTGTGTGATTCTGACTGTTGGATCTGCCTAACAGGTCAGTGGGAACTTCAGTTGCTTAATGACTATTGTATCGAATGAATATCGCTAGTTAAACTTTTGAGAACTCCTGCCTACCTAATGGCAGGCCTTACTAGCCGACTTTTCTGTGGTTTATGAGTTTCATCCCCTATTTCTTTCCTGTCGTTCAAAGAGAGGACCGTGAGATAAAGAATGACTGGCCAGGGCTTGAATGGCCATCATCAGGTTGGTTTAAGTATCGATAAATAGTGGAATAGGAGATCTGCACTTGAAGGATTTTTTCCCTCTGTGTTGGATTTTGCTAGAAGCAATCAACCTGGACAGTAGAATGCCAACCCTTGGTACGGCACAGCACGAATGCAAAAGAGCTTTCGATTCTGCTTGTCCAGCCGAATTGGTTAGAAGCTCGCATTCATTCCATTCACAAAGCGGTCTCACTTCCTGTTCTTAGAACTGTGAGTTGAGTCTCTTAGTCAGAGAAACTATTCACTCTGCTAAGTTAATGTCTCTGTCTGCTGCTCCTTTTGAGGATAACCATCACTGACCTTGGAAGGCAACAGCCACAGAAGAATTTTTCTCATCAGCAATCCATAACCTCGTTGGCAATTAGACATGTGAGGTGACTTTCTCTAAGAAAATACGCATCACTTGTACGTGACTAGTGCCCCTTTCATATGAAAAAACCTAAGTATCATTGTACAACTAGTAATTTCTAAATGTGCTGAGCTATTTGCATTCCACAGGACAGAATTACTTTCAACTTACTTTTAATGGTTAATTTATCTATACAAGTAGATGATTGTCATCATCAGTAAATCAAATAATATGATGAGTGCATTTGATGATGAGAGCTCTTCTATAGTGACTGGTATCTTTCTATATCAGAACAGCAAGTTTCAACTATCAGTAATACATATCCATGTATTTAGCATGTTTTGATAAAAAAAAGAAGGGATATGTTCACTAGAAGTACTAAAACTTGTCACGAAAATGTAATTGAATCCTAAAACTTGCAAAAAATGCAATCAAGTCCTAAAACTTGTCAAAGTGATTCAAATGAGTCATAAAGTTAACACCGTTAAATTTACTAACGGAAAATGCTGACGTGGCTTATTTTAATATTTTCTCTCTCCTATGTGGCTAAAATGATGTCGTTTTTGTTCAAATTTGATTTTTAATACTAATTTTATTTAATTAAATATAAAAAATAAGCATAATTTAAAATTTAAAAAAAAAAAAAAGAGGACAAGCGGGGAGGGAGGGCTCCCTGCCGCCACCGCCCCACCATCACCGGGAGAGACCAGCGAGGGCCGGCGACCCTCGCCCAATCTGGGGGAGGGCCTCCAGGCCCTCGCCTGCTGTCCCCCCACCCTCGCCGGCCCCTTCCGGCAATGGTGGGCCGGCGCTGTCGGCAACGGCGGGGAGGGCAAGCCCTCCCTCCCCTTTTTTTTTTTTAATTTTAAATTTTGCTTATTTTTATATTTAATTTAAATAAAATTAGTATTAAAAATCAAATTTAAGCCAAAACGATACCGTTTTAGCCATGTAGGAGAGAGAATATATTAAAATAAGTCAAGTCAGTATTTTCCGTTAATAAATTTGACGGTGTTAACTTTATGACTCATTTGAACTACTTTGACAAGTTTTAGGACTTGATTGCACTTTTTGTAAGTTTTAAGACTCAATTGTATTTTTGTGACAAATTTTAGGACTTCTAGTAAACATATCCCAAAAAAGAACTTCCAAGCTATAGGAGTGGCCGTTGGGGTTGGCCGGCTTGATAAAGTGACCCAAAATTAGAATAACATGGGCCTCAACCAATTGATTGGGCTTCCAAGGCCGAATCCATATAAAAATAATTTGTCAAGCCTGGGTCGGTCCATTAAGGCCCATAGGCTTGACTTGGCCCAGATACATAATGAGGGCCGACCCACCAACCAACAGACCTATGCCTTCCCATGTTGTTTTTTATTTTTGGTCAGAATTGTGCCTTCCTATGTGAGTAGTAACGTTCTTGATGAAAAAGCCGATGGAGCAACAATTTACAATTTGTAAGATGGTCATTAGCTAGAAATCTTCAATTGTATTTAGCTTTCACAATATTTATAATATGCCCGTCAAAGCAAATATTACTTTAAATAGCCAGTTGACAACTTGTTAGTGCATTGACACCAGGCTCAAATTTGGGCGTAAATATAAGAAGCTAAATGCCCAAACTAGGCCATAACAATATAGTTAACACATGAAGCCTACTCAATAAAATGCCTAAACAAGCTTGTCAACCCTAAAAGTCATAACAACACATATGACCCACGAAACCCATCAATGGAATGTCTGAAGAGTTCATCGATCGTGAGTTTCCAATGAACAGAGTTTAAGTGGAGTTCATGACGCTTGTCAAAGATGGATTAACTCTTGACATGAAAGGAAGTTGAAGTATAAGTCAAGAAGGATCCATCAACTAAGGAAAAATTGTATCTAAAGGATTTGGAGCGGTTACAAGTCATCCATGAAGTAGTGCACAAGTCAAAAGATAAGAAACATACGGAGGAAGATTGTGATGCATAATGGAATGACTCATTAAAGATATAGGAAGAATCAAAGATTATATCTCTCAAGACATTCAACACAGAGAATACACTTCGAACAAGAATCGTACGTCATCAATCAAGAAGCCCATCAGATTTTTTGAAGATCATTTGGATTAGATTTTGCTTTAGTTTTGAATTTCAAATTCAAAGTAGGATTATATTTCCTAGAGTTTTTTTTGGTCGGAAAACAAGCACATTTCATTCATATCGAAGAAGATGAAAGATACGCTAAGTGGGCTTCAGAGCATAGTAAATTCCTAAGGGCCTCGGAGGGACTGGAGACCCAATTTAGAGGAAGGACATTATGGGCTTGGGCTCTCACTGGTTCAGTTACTTGTCTTTGATTATAAAATCTTTTAGTCGAGTCCCGTAATCTTTTTACGTTCTCTATGCACTTCATGATTTCCATTGAGAAGTTTATTGTTCAAATCCAATCATCAAGCAAGCATGCACCCAAAATTTTAAGCCGTCTGTTCTAATTCAATAGAAGTCCCTTGCAAATTCCTCATTTGTTTTCGATTATTTGTCCACTATTTTTTTTTAGTAATTCGAATCTTACACGGTCCTTGAAATTTCAAGGCATATCAGAATCCGTTAACTTTTAATTTGAAGTCGAATTTGATACTTTTAATTTGTCATCATTCAATTGCTATTAGACTTTAGTCATTAAAACTATTGAATTTCTAGAGACCGATGTAGAATTCTGAAGCTAAACTCCAAGAAGTCCCAACCCATCAAGAGCATCCGAGCCTAAGGATGGTCCTCAGGATGGAAGACCATCACCCAATCCATCGCTGAAAATTTACAAGAAGATCACTTTGTTCAATTGACTTGGATTATGTTAGATAATTCAGGAAAAAACCTTGAAGTGCTAAAAAATTCGAACACACAGCTCAGATGAATCTACACTCAAGCAATGTGGTAAAAGAAACAAAGAATATCAAATCATTCACCATGTCGATGAACGAACTGAGAAGGTAATAACTAGGGTTCACAAAGGTGACCTCGTTTTTGCGAATGTCCATAATCAAGGAGACTAAAGGGTCCATGTCATTCGACAGAACGTCTTTCTATCTCTGTACTCTCTGTGCTCGCTTGTCGTGCGCTTGACATGCTCGTAATTTGTGGTTTTTTAGTTTGACTTCCTCTTCTTTTTTCAATTAAAAAGGCAACAAGAATGAGAAACAACACCCACCGGTGGGTGGCTGCATTGGTTTGGCTCCTCTTCCTCATCGCTGAGGGGAGGGGTTCGAATCTCCGGTCGCTAGCGTCTTAAGTGGGGGGCCCTGGTGGTGGGGTCCTGGGCTAGCTCCCCCCGAGGTATAGTCGCTGTTGGTTCTGTCCGGCTGTCGGCCGGTGGGGCCGTACGGGCGGATCCTCGGTCATCAAAAAAAAAAAGAATGAGAAACAACAAACGGCAATTGGAACAATATTGTCCTACGCGGGATTAGGTCTGCTGCATATTGATTACATAAATATTCTGGGAGGGGGAGAATGAAAATCTGTACTGCACATTGATCTGGCAAGAGTAATCAGGATGAAGAACAGTTTACTAATCAACCGTGATGGTCGGGCTCTTGGTCCATCCGAGGGGCTCAATCTGTCGACAACATTCAATCGTCCGAATGTCTCACTTGATTATAAGCCCCAATTGAGCTCAGCATCAAGAGGATCCTCTTCATTCTCAATCTTTTGTTTACCCTTCCCCATGAATATATAAGTGAATCTTCACTGATTTTTCATACGAAAAGCAAGTTTTTAGTAAAAAGGTGTCGAAAGCAAGTTGGACACAGATCGGGATCCCACGAATGTGATATGGATTGAGAAACAATAAGAGGATAATCTAAACAATGGGAGAACCTACAGACCAGTAGGACTTACAGACTGAGAAGGTAATAGCAGCAAAGAGCTTATCTCCATGCCACTAGGACACGAGGAAAGTGACTCATGCACTGCTTCGCATGAGACGGGGACGTCAATTAAGAGAGTCATTTGGTGCTGACAAACAAAATGAGCGACCATCACAGGGCCGTGATGTTCATAATATCATGACATAATACTTGTTATGGAGCACATTAGATGTTCAGAAATTGGAAAAATTGGAATTTGTGGTTAAGACAGGATGGAGAAGCCTACTATGATCAAACAATTGAACGATTGTACGATTTTGATTACTTATATTACTCTTCCTGAGAACACAACATGAAAGAGGCACCTGAGGAGATTGCGGAGCAAATGTCATCTGATTTAGTTAAAGCCTTTGAAAGCTGACATCTCAGACTTGGTGAAAAGAGTGCTGGAGCACGATAAATTCTTACTTGTTCTCAATGACATTCCTCAACTCCTAAATCTGGAGTCAACGGGAATTCCTGATTTAATGCCACAGAACGGTAGCAACGTAATCTTGGTGGCTAAATCAGAACAAGTTTGCAGTGGAATGGCAGTGGAGAGGATGCTAATTTTGGATGATCATCTTTGCTGGGCCACTGTGAAGGTGGAATAGTTCACTCTGCAGAAATTCAAGCTATAGCCAGAGAAACAGCTAGAAAGTGCACTCATGAATCCAGAGCGATTGTTCTAATGGCATGAACACTTCAGGATGTGCACGATTCTTCCATATGGAAACATGCCATTGAAACACTGAGGCTGCAACGCAATTTATGGAAAAGATATTGAAGCCCTAATGGTTACTGTGTTGAGGTTCAGCACTGAAAGTTCAGATAACAAAAGAAGTAAAAAAAGTTCGAGAGATCTCTTCCTTCATAGCAAATACCAAGAGACAGAAACCGAGTGTCTCATAGGCAGATGGATAAGGGATGGTATGGTAGACACCCAAAATGACGGCCAGAAAGTCCAAACAGTTTGTCAATGCTAACTTAGCTCAAAATAATGAGAATGAAAGATTTGTCAAGTTTCAAACTCTGAATCAGCATGTGTTGGCGAACTTACTAGCTCAACTAGAAGAAAGTCGCTTGTTTCTGATTTGAGGTTGTTTGGACTTGACGCCATCAAGTTGATGGAGCCACCAAGGGCTGAGGAATGGGAGAGCGCTGAAGAGATTCCCGTAATGCATAACAAGATTGGACTACAAGAGGAACCAAGGTGCTTTTCACTCACAGCATTGTTTCCTCAAAGGAATTACAAGCTGAGATTGATACCTACTTCATCTTCAATTGCATGCCTGCCCTAGAAGTTCTGAACTTATCAAGGACTCGCATTAGGTCTTTGTCAGAGCCAATATCTCAATTAGTCAGCCTCAAAAGAACCTTCTTAAACCATTGTGTTCTATTGAGGACAATAACTGCAGCAATTGGCAGGCTTGTTCTCCTGGAGGTGCTTTATCTTGAGGGAACAAAGACCATGGATCTACCAAAAGCAGGAGAAAGAAAAACTAATCTCACTTGCCTGGAAGTGTCAATATCAGGAAGTGCATCTCGGAAAGCAAATGCTCAAGTTTTGAACCCAGTGGTTCCTTGTGGAGTTATATTGGCTATCTAGAAGAACTTAATTTCGATGTGGATCCTGATGCTGAATGGCGGAACAAGTGTGCCTAGGGTATTCTCTCCTAAGTCTGCAGCTTACGAAACTTAAATACCTGAAATTATACTTTCCAAACTTGGAACTCCTTAGGAAGTTCAAGCAGCTCCAACAATCAATTAGAGTATCCATCCTTAAATCAGTCTAGACTTGTTGGCAATCAGGCTAACCGCATGATAAATCGACTACCATATGATGTTGAATTTGAATTAGATCAACGGGACAGATACTTGAGGAAAATAAATGGTGGTGTTCCCGTGAAATCAAGGTCATACTAAAATAGTCAGATGCGAATTATATGGACAGACATGCAGATCTTAAGAAGTTCTCTGAGTTCAGTTTGGAAAGCATAAAGCAACTCACATGTTGTGTTCTTGGGGAGTGTAATGAGCTTGAAGTTCTCATAGATGAAGCTGACATTATCCATGAAGCGGAGGAAAACAAATCAATTAATCACTACACAAGCTACTGTCGTTGTGATGTTATCTATCGCCACATCTTGCATTTCATATGAAGGGCCAGTTTTTACGTGGGAGTACTAACAAAAACCAATTTAAGTCATTCAACTGAACTAAACCAAACCAAAACAAACACAAATTCTCGCTTGGATTCCTTTCACATGACCTGTTTCGAAGAGGCAGTTGAAGGACCACACAAATCAGTTGAGACCAAACCAAAACCAAATCCAACGGTATTGTAGGTTATACTTGGTTTTTGTTTTGTAATATGATGTACTTAGAATAAAGTGAAATCTAGTTACAATAAAGTGAAATCTAGTTACAGGGAGGTTATGGAGGACATGATCCTCTTCTTGCAACTGAATTTTGCATAGTTTGAGGAACACCAAATCGATTTATGACATAACCAACTATGTTTCTTTTTCTTTTTCCCCTGGTAGTGTAGACATTTGTACCCACTTACTACACTAAACAGTCTATGAATGGATAGAATCATCAATAACTGAATGAATAACAAGAACATTCGTTTAGACTAATATTCGCATATAGTTCAACCTCATTTAAAAATTGATCTCATGGTCTGTTCTCGTCTCCAACATCAGTCAAAATAAAATTACAGTAGAAAACTCTTATTGCATATATTCTAGCCTTTCACCTGCTAGGACAGGCGGATTAGTCGAGATATTCATCAATTGGCCTAGACATGACTATTAGAACCAAAAATAAAATTTCTGTGGTGTGATGGGTGGCCAAAGACTTTCTGTATCAAAGAAAGGGCGTGTATTGGTTTTGGATTATTTGACCAACTGAACTCATAAAGAGAAGCATCAAGTAGAGGTAAATCTTGAGTCTCTGCTGCAGCAACCAACATCTAAAAAATCGGTAATCGTCTACCCACGAGTCTAAACTCTGAATGCTTCAATAGCTAGATGGTTTTGTCTCAGCTATGTATGTGCTGCTCTCTTATAATGCTCGACTCAGGAATGTGTCCCAATGCATTAGTTTCTGAAAGGAGATGTTCATTTCTTTTCCTGTAGAAAATTTGATATAACATCGCGACTTTTACCTTTGTAGGAACTTTGTGTTGACCGTTGACTGAATGATATGTGAGATATGATGTGCAGGGAAAAGTGGATGAATATAAGATGCAATGTTTTTTTTTTGGTAAGGAATATAAGATGCAATGTTTTTTTTTTGGTAAGGAGTATAAGATGCAATGTTCAACTCTAGTAACTACAAGAGATAAGCAAATGTTGATTAGACTCAGTTTGGTTCCAACTGTTGGTTTGGTTTCAAAATTCTTGAGCTGAAATAGTTTGGACCCAGTCAAACTACACCTCTACTCTTGGATGGATAGTGTTCATAAGGATGCCTGACATGCTTTTGGGGGTTTGTTTCTAGACAACATCCTAGTCAAAGCTGTGAAGGGAAAAGCTTGTTGACTTGAAAGTCTGGTTTGACAAATTTCTCGGGCTCAAGATAATTCTTCTTTTTGGGCATGGACCGAGGCTAAAAGGCCTAAAAAGCCTAAAAAGTGTGAATTAACCTAGAGACATCTTTAAGAACAAGAAAGACATATGTAATAAGATTTAAATGAGAAATTGGCATATTTATTCTAAAAGCCCTAGTCATAAACCAAGCTAACCTAGCAAATAATCAGTAAAGGGCTGAGAACAAGGACCAAATTCGAAAAGTAGCCCCAAAGATGCCAAAACTATAGATTTCACTTCAAATATTTAGAGCAGACATTATCTTTTTATAGGAACTTATCTGGGAAATTACTCAATCATTAGTTCTTTAATTTTCTATGATTAATGTCATGCCAAGTAATCATGGCATGGATGTGCATATATATATATATATATTTTGTAGATAGGACGAACAGTTCATTTAGTATAGTACGAAAGCATATGTCAAAGGTTCAAATCTGTTTGAATTGACTTTTATTTATTACATTTAGCTTAATTTAATTCTTGCGGCTCACTCACATTTTTGTAATCCGAAACACTTAAAACATTCACAAGATATAGATCTCGGTAGATAGATTCACAAATAATTTTTCCAAAATTTTTTGAAATTTGAATTGTATTTTAAAAGTTGACTGATAACAATTAAACAAGCAGGCCCTGAAAATTTACGGTTATTTTTTTTTATTCTATATTCTTATTTTTTGTGCTCCTCCCTGTAGTTGTCTATTTGATGTAATTAGATCCACATCCACAGCATGTTTCCGTGAAAAAGGCTCGATTTACACATTAAGCTTATGAGCAAATGATTCATCTAACAATTGGTTATACAAACTAGAAAACAGCTGACTCAGTTCTCAAGTCTCGGTATTACAACATACAAATGTTTGATAATACACGACACAAAGATGGAAGACAAATTATGTAAACTGACCTTAGTTCTCAGCAAACTAAGCCTCACAATCATCTTAGAAGCTCCTTCAAGGATAGATATGTAAGCAAAGGCAAACTCAGGTTCTCTGAGACCCTTCCAGTAACAGATGCTGTTCATTGAACAAAAATATACCCAAAGACTTCAGGTTAATAAAGCTCAATTTACTATTGAGAAGAACTAACAATCACAAAGTAAAGATCTTAAGACAATAAAGCATGATACTACTATATAATCAAACACTTGAGAAAGCAAGGTACTATGGTCCCAGCATTAGTGCAACATCACACTACTAGAAATTAGACTTCTTACATGAAGAATTTCTCAGCATAAAACGGGCCAATTACTAGCTGAATATGCATATAGGTCGTAATCTTTGTTCAACTTCTTCTTCCTGCCAAGACAGCCGCCTCCACCACACTCTTTGAGTTTCAATATGTCTCAGTTTGGCTGCATTATGGTTCCCGAAGGGCAATCTCTTTAGTGATTGGCACATATGTATGGTAATGCCCTCTAACGACGGCCACACCAATGAGTTATCAATCCAAATGCTTCTCAACTTAGGCAGATCAGTAAGTATCAGAGTCTTTAGACCTGGAAGTGCACTAGGGTCTAAATTGTTGTTTTCAGCTTTCATGATGATCTCTGTAATCTCATGACACTCTTCAACTCTCAAATATTGAAGCTTAGAAAGTTGTGGAATCATGCCAGCGGAGAATATTTTCGTCAGTTTTGGACATTTATATATACTTAGAGAAGTTAGTTGGGCTAGGCTTCCAGGTTGCACGGGACCATTCCAAAGGCATGTCAATTTTGGGGCATTGTTTATAACTATCTTCTCCATGCATTCCAATGCACCTGCTGTGGAATGGTTGCCATCAACCATGGCTTCAATGTCGGAGCACCCTTCAATCAGGCAACCCCGCACCTTGTTGATATTGGCGTTGCCAAAGTCTGATATGCTTGAAATTCCCTTGTGGCATAAAAGTTCAAATGCATCAGTTTCAGCAAGTACAGCAGAAATTGCATGATCCACACCGACCCCATTTGCATATTTTAAACACCTGCAGATTTCATACTCAAAATGATCGAGGATTCGATATCTGGTAGACTCATGGTAACCAACGGAAAATCGGAAGGTGAAGCAGATATTCTTCAAGAGTGAGCTGCTAGTGACAAAAATTTTTAGATACTCGACGGAAGGAAAACAAAATGATAGAGAAGTCAAGCGCGTCAAGGTGGCCACTTCTTGTGTAATAGCCTTTACAACCACATCCCACCATTGGTTATTAGGATGCACATCGATGCTAAGCTCTTCCAACGAAGAAAGCCTTGAGATGACATTGTGACCAATGTCCATGACTCTTGACCGTCCCTCGATCACCCGTCTCATACACGAATTGGATAAGGAAATCCGCAAGCATCTCAAATTAAGCAAGTCCCCAATCTGAACCGGCAAATAGTCAATTCCAGTGCCTCGGATATCAAGAACCTCCAGATGTGCCAGTGCCTTCATGTCAATAGGAAGTTCAGTTAAAAAGCTGCAAGAATTTAGATAAAGTGCTCTTAGAGCTGTCAAGGACAACATTGATAATGGCAAGGATGTGATCCGAGTGCCATGCAAATCTAGAACTCGGAGCTTTTCCATAGATCCAAAAAATGCATCTGGAATTAATGCCAGTTCATAATTTCTTTGCAGCATCAGGGTTAGGAGAGAAGTGCAATCTACTGTTCCTGGTAATGTGCACAGGTGGTTATCCATCAGAGATATGCGGTTTGCCATTTTCCAATCTTCTTCATTAGGGGCCTCTTTCAGCCCTTCACAAGCTTTCACCAAGAATTTAGAATTCTTGCCTTCTGACGAAATTTTGAGTGCCATGTTCCGGAGCACTTTGTTCATTCTAACGTGCTTTACTTTTTCACTTTTTTCGAGCAAGGAAACATCTATGAGTTCATGCAATATGCCATGGCCCCGATCACGAGCTTCGGTAAAATCAACTGCATCACTCAGAAAGCCTTCTGCTCTCCAGCACTCCAATAAATAATCTATATAGACATCAGAATCCTCCGGAAACAATGCGCCATATAGGAAACAAATCTTTTGTCCTTCATCATCCAACTTGTCGTAACAGAATTTCAAAAATTCAAGAACTTCGTCCATGCCTTGGATTTTTACACTAGGCCATTTTCGCAAGCTTCTTAATCCATCCCTCCAAAGATTAATGTTATCCTTCTTTCTGAAATATCTTGCAACTCTGTCAATCAGAAGTGGTAAACCAGCACATTCAGTTACCACTAGATGGCCAAGTGGTTCAACACCAGGCAGATTAATATTCCTACCCACTTTCTCCCGGAACATTTTCCATGCATCTGCTTCAGACAGCCTTTTCACATTGACCAACTCATCAACTTCCATATCCGAACAAACATGTTGGTATCTACTTGCTAACACAACCTTACTATCCTGGTTGTTATCATGTAATCCCACTGCCTGTAAATCAAAAACACTCCAAACTTCATCCAGAAGAAGCAAGTATCTTTTGTTCTCCAATTCTTTTGATATTCTCCACGATATTTCGTGCGGATCACCGATCCCTTCAGTATTCAATTTAAGCCTCTGCGCAATTGCCTTTTGCAACTTCTCTATGCTACTTTCTTTGGAAACTGACGCTGAAATTACAATGTCAAACATTTTGCTGATCTCTTCATCATCATTCAAATTATGCATGATTGTGGTCTTCCCTATTCCCACTGTCCCCCAGAGCCCAATTCTTTTCACACTGCAGTCCCTCAAGTAACCAAGGATCTCTTCAACAGCACAGTGGATCGATGGCTTGTTTTCTGTTTTCGGAGCATGCATTAATCTGACAGGCTCAGGTGGTCTCTCGACAACTGCTTCGGTTTCAAGTCCTCCTTCTGCCCACAGACTATGCAATTCCTCGCACTTCTCAGCCAAACGTTTACTGAAATTGGGAGCTGACAAAATGTGACGCTGTTTCCATGAACGTTTTCTTCTTTTTCTAAATTCATTTTCTAGTTCTTGAACCTCATTCTCAACATTCTTAACCCTGCCAATCCAGGCTTCACACTCTTTAGTTTTTTTCTTTGTCTTGTCTTTGTTTGCTTCAGCTTCCACGTCATCCCTCCTAGCAAAGAGTTTCTCTGCTTCCTCTGTGAGCCTTCTAAAATTCTTTTCAAGATCATCCGCATAATTGATTTTGCGACCAACATAAGCTATTAAGCTTTTCCCATCCCTGTATGCCTCAACAGCCGCTGCCGTAGCTGCCGCCTCAACCATACTGTGCAAGCAACAAGCTAGAGTTTATAATCTTAACTTAAATCATAATGGAAAAAACTCACTAAAAGTAGTAGTTTGAAGAACAAGAGTGTCTAGTCTCTACCAAAAAATTAGGAACAAATTTATTATGCACAACAAAATGATGCCACAATTTAGGGCCAAACAAAGAGTGTGCCAAAGTTAACCCAAAATCTTTATCTGTTCTTCGTTTTCCTAAATATGTTCCATACAACTGTGAGAAGTGGAAGGAGCTGATTGAAACACATGTTTACTTGAAAGACTTTTACTTAACATTTGGTCGCCAAGAAGCATAGAATCCTGAAAAAAAATATCGCCAGCAAATTAAATTTATTTTCATTTCAAGGAGACAGACAGATTATACTCCTCTAATTGTAGCATCACAGCTGTTTATTGTTCCTCTAACGATTTCTAAGAGTAGTTTTGTATTCTACATATGAAAGGTATAGATAAAAAGTTGCTAAAGAACAATAAGGTTTAGGCATTGACTAACTCTGATTTTGAAGACGCCGGGTCAAATACTCAAGAAACAGCTCAGGATGAGGATGGCACGCCTACTTGAGATGTTTGTATGACCTGCAACTGAATAACTGCCACAATTTGAAGGGCATAGTTAGACATTTGAGTAGGTGCAAGAGCTAAAAAAAATACATATTCAAGTTATAAGAACCATAAATCTACACAATGAATACCAACTTAATAAAAAGAGTCTCGGCAAAAGAAGTATAGAAATAACACATAGACCAACAGGTCAGATCTTATTGTGAGTGGTGAACATGCACTGACCACCTAGCTTGTCTGCATTGATTTTCATTCTCCAATCAACTCAAATATAGGATTGTGGAAAAGCTGGCGAACATTGAACATTCACAATAAAATTGAAAAAACTACAGATACAAAGCAGATTATGAATTTCAATGTCATCAAGATGAAATTGCGATGCCATTATAACACTGATTAAGGTTTTTAGCATGTTGTCTGAAATTTTGCGATTTTAGAAGGCAACTTCACTTTTATGTGCAATCTTAGATGCATCGTGAATTCATCTTTCTAGCACAAGCGCCAATGGCACATGCATGGACCCCAAAACACGACTGCAAAATAGTTGGACATTTTCAGCAAGCAAAACCGATGCACCTCAATTCAGCTATTGGTAAACTACTTTCCAATGGAAAAAGACAGGAGAGGGAGAGGTTGGTCCTGTTCGTGACATAGAGTTCGAACTGACAAAAAGACATGACGAAAACAGAAAAACATAAGAAGGTGATGGTGGAATGACTCCTCCAGTTAGGAAAGACAGAACAGAGGAGAAGATTATAAGAAGAATATTTGCTCCAAGTGAAAGAATATAAACTTCTTAGCTCGATGGTAGCAAGATCCCCCGTTCACATGATATTCAACAAAAGTAATCCATAAAAAATGTCAGTGAAGAACACCATATTGTTCGATCAAAAAAAAAAAAAAAAAAAAAAAAAGAACACTATATTGAAATTCAACTTCCATATCAGCTCAACAGCTCATCTTCAAAGTGTAATGTGGACTCTCGGCATCTTAGAAGAAGTATAAAAGCGGTTCATACATAAGATCAGTCCAATATACGAATACATACTGCCTATTTCTTTCTAACCAAACGAGAGAAACATTTCCATCGGTTTTTTATTTCGTTTCTTTCCACCCAATTCGGTCAAACCCAGAATTCTTGGCAAAATCAGTCGATCAAAAGAAGAAAAGAACGAACCAACATACGTTCGAGTCTTCACCCGTACAACAAGCAGCGCTGATCAGAACCATACAATCAAATTCAACCCTCAGAACCGACGAACAACATGGTCAACTATTGGAAAGAGCAAGAGAGCTCAGAAGAAGACGCTGTACTTACATGCAATTCAACGAAGCACCATTGATTAGCTCCAAAGCTCCATGGAAAGAAAGACAGGAATGAGCTGATGCTTGAGGGTGGGCTCAGAAGAGAAGTCACAAGTCAACCGTGGAAGTCAATCATCTTCGCGCGTTGAAACACGCACGCGTAATGAGTCGTTGCCTGTGTGTTTCCGTGGGCGGGGTCCATAGAGTGAAGAGCCCCCAGCCAATGTTGTCAATGGATCCAAATTGCGGGCACTCAATCCATCAAATTTCAACAGAACAACGTAAAAAAAAAAAAAAATCCATGCACTTTACAACTTTTAGCTAATGTAAAACTCCATCCTTAAACTTTAGTCTCGTTCAATTTAATCCTCAGTCTTTGAATCAAACCGTTCCTTTTTCCAGTCAAATATGGTCCTGTTCATATCTAACGTGAATTGAGGTAACAATCAAATTAACCGTGAAGCCCACATTTGTTGATGTGATAAGACGCATGTAAATTCGGGTTAATGCTGCATGGCAATCCGATTAACCATGGATTTGACCTCTGAGGATCAAGTCTTTTATGGCAACAGGGGAAAGATTTTAACGGGATTTTCCCGACCAAAAGTAGTAGGAAAAAGAAAATGCGAAGAGGGGAGAGAGGATTAGCTCCTCCGGCTCATTTTCATCCGTTGGTTCCACTACATTTGCTAAGGATTCCTGCGGGTGACACCGTCCTATGTCGTTGGTTTCGATGAATTGTAGATGTCATTTTGAGCTTTAGGTAGTTTGGTGAAGCGTATAATACATTGACCATGACACCATCGCGACGGAGCAAAGATGAGTTGGTGCCACTACCAATTAGAGAAGAGTTATTTAGGTGTTTCCTCCGCTCCAAGTTCTGGTCGAATGTTAAGCGCCACTATTTCCACATTGAGATAACAGCACAAATAGTCCATGAATTTTGATATAATGTGCAATGCGGTCCTTGATTGGCCTAATGTGCAATACTATCCATAAACTTTTAATTTGTTCAATGTGGTCTATAAACTATTGGTAAATGTTCAATTGTAATCCCCAAATTATATAAAAATGTTTAAAAGTTTAGTTTTTAGAATAGATTTGATTGGAATAATGGAAAATAGGGGGTCACATTGAATATTATATTAAAGTTCAAGGATTACATTGAACAAATTAAAAGTTCATGGACGACATTGCACATTAGATAATAATTCAAGAACTATCTTTGTCATTTTCCCTGCCACATATGTAGCGTTGATTCGTGATGAATCTGAAAATTTAAGTCAGAGCTGAATTTGGTCTTTGAAGTGCGAGCTCATTTAATCATGATTCAGGGTATCGTGCGTGCCTTAAGCCAAAAATAAATGTCTTAAGCAGAGATTACTTAATTATGGGCTCGGATTGTAGCTCCCCGAACAGTAGTTTAGTTGCTAAACGTCGGACGTATTATTCTTAGAGATCGAACCTCCGTCAGAGATTTTTTCTTGCGTTGACATCTAAAGCGAATTGCGTTCTATTTACAACAATAACTACGGCAATCGGGGGAGCTCGTTCGCCTCGAGGTGATCTACCAAAATCAATAGAAAGATAAACTAATCTAACTTACTTGGATGTGTCAATATCAGGAAGCGCATATCAAAAAGCAAATGCTCAAGCTTTAGGTACTTTAGTGAAGCGTATAATACATTGACCATGACATCATCGGTGCAAGATGAGTCAGTGCCACTACCAATTACAGTAATCTATATGTACCCTATTTCCACATTGGGATATCAACACAAATTATTTCTAAACTTTGATCCAATTCACAATGTATTTACTGAACTTTTAATTTTTGCAATGTAATCCATAAAAATTTGGTCTAATGTGTACTATTGTCCCTAATCTTTTAATTTGTTCAATGTGATCTATGAAATATTGGTAAATGTTCAATTATAATCTCTAAACTATATAAAAATATTTACAAGTTTAGAGATCGCATTGAACATTGGACCAAAGTTCAGGGACTACATTGAACAAATTAAAAGTTTGGAGACGGCATTGCACATTGGACCAAAGTTCGGACACATTGAACAAATTAAAAGTACAAGGATGACATTGCGTATTGAACCAAAGTTCAGAAATTATTTATGTCATTTTCCCTTCCACATTGATAGTGTTGATTTATGGTGAATCTGAAAATTTAAGTTAGAGTTAAATTTGGTCTTTGAAGTGCCAACTCATTTAATCATGATTCAGGGTATCGTGCATGCTTTAGGCCCCAAAAAAAAAATGTCTTCAGCAAAGATTACTCAATTTAAGATGGGTTCGGACCGTAGCTCCCTGAACAATGGTTTAGTTGATAAACGTTGGAAGTGTTATTCTTAGAGGTCAAACCCCCCCATCAGAGATTTTTCCCAAGTTGACATCTAACGTGAATTGCATTCTATTGACAACAATAACTGCGGATATCGGGGGGCTCGTTCACCTCGAGGTGCTTGATCTTGATGGAACAAAAATCACGGATCTACCAAAACCATTAGAAAAATAAAGGGGATAAGTGAACTGGAAGTCCTAAAACTTATCACAAAAGTGCAATTAAATCCTAAAACTTGTTACGAAAAAAATTTGAATGAATTTGTTCCAATTACATCATTGGTAATACCAATTTCATCCCAATTGATTTGCCTCACACAAATTGAGAATTTTCAATTAATTGATGCAATTTTTGCAATTTGTCTTCAATTGACAAAATTGATTTAAATTAAACCCAATTGACTTGAAAAGCAATCAATTGATTCAATTGAATAGGTTTAAAACACTCTAATGTGCTCAAATTGACTTTCATATAATGATCCCATTTAGACCCCAAAAAGAAATTGAAAATTAATTGTCAAATTGAAGCTCAATTCATCAAATTAAACCCTAGATAAGAATGGGTCAAGTTGAATTGCAACAATTTGATCAATCTAGTTTAGTTTTACAAGTCATTGGCTAGCTTAATTGATCAAATTGACTCAAATTCATGTGAATTTTTCAAAATTGATGTTGGATTTGAGTTTCATATAAGAAAATGGACTCATTCATGATTTAATTGTGCAAATCATGAGGAACCAACCGGAATCCCTAATTAAGGCTCAAATTAGTGATTTTTATCCTTAGCTTGGGATTCTAAAATTGGCTTGAAAATTGAATGTGAGATGACCTCTAGATCAATGTCGTGAAGGAAACTATCCTAAAAAATTACTAGAAATGAAGTAATTTCATTTTTGGCCAATTTAAACCAAAATCCACGAATTGGGGTAAAGTTAATTATAAACCGATTTTTGTAAAATTGATGTTGCCAAAGTCAAATTACGGTAAAAAGGAGTTAATTTAGTGGTTTTGAATTTTTTCAATTTTTTTGGACAAAGTATTGGTCAAAAATCAACATTTTAGTAATTACTTACTAAAATATCAATTAATTGATCAAACTTTGAATTTTTCTGAAAATTGATAATGCAAAAGTGAAATTGACACTATTTTTGGGCTTTTGTGCAAAAAACCAAAATTTGACTTAAGGTTGACTTTTCGATCAAAATTTGATTAAAAGTCGACTCAAAAGTCAACGTTTTGACTTTTTGGGATTAAAGTGCAAAAGGCAAGAAAATGAAAGACGAATGCTAATTCAAATACTAAATGACTTCTTTTTCTGTTGAAAAGTGGGTTTTGTCGTGATCAGAAATCCTAATTTCAATTTTTTTTACCTTTATGACGCATTAGCTAAAAATCAGGTGTCAACAGTTAGCTTATCTTTATTCATTTTGTCACTATTAGACAACAAACAATCGAGGACTTTGATCCTCCAGCAAAGCTGCTTCCTTGACCTCCGTTTCACTAGCTTATGGCTAGTCTCTCTCTTGATATTGTGAAGCGTGCAAAGACTCGCCTCGGTGGTCATATGTTTCTTTTCCCATATTGCTAGCTTACAGTTAGTCCTCTCTCTTGTTCGATATTATGAAGCCTGTGAGACTCACCTCAGTGGTCATATGTTTCTTTTCCCATATTGCACGTGCTTTATTTTGCATGTGTATAGCACTTATTTTGCATGCGTGTTATTAATTTCAGATATCATCCAATTTTTTTTTTCAATTTTTTAGCCCAGCGATGATGAGCAGGGCAGCGGCATATAAAAAGAAAGGACTTGAAGATATCCGACATGCATCTTGAGGTCCTGATGGGATCTTGGGTTGTGAATGGCGGGATTGACCTCTAACCGGTGTGGTTGCCGCTGCACCATTGTGACGGTGGGGGCCATGTTGTTCGTGAGGCCCAAGTCCGTTGCACCATTATGGACTTGGGCTCCAATTATGCCATCTTCCTAGTTAGCCACTCCTTCGTCAACATGGGCATCGGTTACACCCTGATGACTACCCCGTTTATGTAGTTGAGGTCTCCCCTTCCTTCTCTCGCGGCTTCTTCACCTCCTTCCCTGAGATACTTTTTATTATATAGAAAGAAAAATCATAAAAATAAAATGTAGGCCAAAAGAGTCGCTACACGTATAATCAAGTTTTCTTTTTTTCCACTTAACCTTTTTTTCTTCAATTTATTATTAGTGCTCTCTGTGTTTTTACTACATAAAAAGTAAAGAAAATCATAGAAAATTAAGTAGACGAAAAGGGCCGCCAAATATATATAATCAAGTTTACTAATTCTCCATGTTTGGTCTTCTCTCTTCAATAGTTTATCGTGTTCCATATTTTTTTTTTATTTTCTAAGAAAATAGAAGAAAAGTTCACGCTATTTTCACCCCCTCAAAGAGTTTTAAACACACCCCAAAGTTTAATTAGTCCAAAATAGCCTTCGTTGAGATCTTATTAATGCTAAGATTAACAAAAGACGAAAAATATACATTTAACATAGATCAACCTTTCCTAAACTATTATTTCTTCTTTTTTTATGTTCAAATCAAAGAAGTTTACATGTTCGTTCATTTTAACAAGAATCATCTAAGATTCAATTGTTTTAATAAATTTAATAATCGAGATCCTAATTTAGAAGAATATTAATAAACTACATTTATTATCAGACCCATCCTTTCTAGAGATTAGCTTGAGCACATTATTAAGTTGAAGAAAGGATATAAAGTTCATATAAAAACGAATGGAGAAAAATAGATGATAGTCAAATAAAATATCACTGTTTTGATTAATACAGACAGTCTCATAATTTAATGATAATGCGTAGTTTTTTGCCTTCTCAATAAATAGCAACTTTCACATTTTTTCTCTTTTGCGATTTTGATTAACTAGTTCTCCTGAGGTTATTTTCATCAACTCGGAATAGCCTTGACCAATCAATTCAGGACATAAATGCCACATTCAACAAGAGAGATTATCCTAGTAGAGCCAGAGGTGCCAAGAACTAAAGATAAGGAGGGGACTGGAGTTGTAGGCGCTAACCAGCAAGCTAGAACATCCATGGAGCTGATTATAAGATCTGAATTGAAGGGCAAAAACCAGCAAGCTGAGAGACCTAACTCGCTCAAGGGGAAGACTAAGCAGGATAACCAAATCATCCTATTTGATCCGACTAGGGAGGGCAAACGAGATAAAACCTCGAGGAAATACAAGATTGGGCTCAAATCCTTTAAGAAGGTGGCTGTGTCGAAGAAACAGAAAGCACTCAACTCATGCGGCTTGCATGACATTCTCCATCAATCTATTAACGAGGAAGCACTACTTGAAACACCAATTCAGATGGTGGCTGGGATGAGCGAATGGGCTTTGGTGGCTAGCCCTAATAAGCCTCCAGGGGATATATGAAGCTTTTGAGCTGGAACTGCCAAGGGTTGGGTACACCCTTGACAGTCCAGCATCTCAGAGCCTTAGTGGCTCAAGATAGACCCAACTTAGTGTTCCTAATGGAAACTAAGAATAAAAAAACAGTAGTAGACAGAGTCAGGAGGGAACTTCAATTTCAACATGCGGTGATAGTTGATCATATAGGGATAGCGGGGGGTTTGGCTGTTTTGTGGAACGAAGGTGTGGAAGTGGTAGTTGAAGATAGCTCAAAGGAGTTCATTGATGTATCCTGTAGGGACCAAGACAGTGGGAACATGATGCGTATCACCTTTTTACATGCCCCCACAATCTTTCAAGAAAGACTTCAGCTATGGCAGCAAATACAGGCGATAAGCTCAGCAAATCACCTCCCATGGATTTGTATTGGAGACTTTAACGAAATTTTATACCGCTGGGAAAAGGTAGGCATTAGAGAGGCGGACCATCACAGGCTAGTGGCTTTCCGCGACTTTCTGAATAGGTGCTCATTAATGGACATTGAAAGCAAGGGGTGTGCATTTACTTGGGCGAACAACAGGGATAGGGAAGCTCTTGTTAAGAAGAGATTAGACAGGGCTCTATGCAACATTGACTGGAGAGTGTTGTTCCCCAACGCGGAGGCTTATGCCTTACCAGCAATAGGTTCCGATCACAACCCAATTCTCCTTACACTTTCCCCAACATTCATCAAGAGGAAAAAGGAATTCAAATTTGAGGCATTCTAGTTGGAAGAGCCCCAATGTAAGGAGTTAGTGCAGAAGATATGGAATCAGGAAGACATGCCTGAAGATTTCGCGAGCAAGCTGAAAAAGATCATAGAAGCATTGATTGGGTAGAGTAAAAAGAGATTCTCCAATGCCCGTTCCCAAATAGCGTCTTTCAAAAGAAGACTCATGGACCTCACAAACACAGATGTTAGGGAGTCAAGTATAAAGGAAGTGCAATGCATCAAAGAGCATATTGAGAATTTGTGGAGGCAAGAAGAACTATACTGGGGGATGAGGTCTCGAATCAATTGGCTCAAATGGGGAGACAGGAACACAAAATACTTCCATGCCACTACGGTTCAGCGTAGACAAAGGAACAAGATCTCAATGCTGAAAGTGGATGATTATTGGTGTCGAGAACCCGATGCACTAAAGCAACACATTGCAAGTTTTTACCAGTCTTTGTATGAATCAGTGGGCAATAGGAACTTCCAGCCGATTCTAGACCAGTGCCCTCCTCTTGCACAAGAAGGGATGAACGAAGCTTTGGAAGCGCCAGTAACCTTAGAGGAGGTGAAGAAAGCGGTTTTTCAACTAGGCGCAACCAAAGCCCCAGGCCCCGATGGGATGAATGGCCAATTCTACCACCATCACTGGGAGGACATACAGCATGACCTTCACCTGCTAGTCAGCAATTTCTTCATTTCAGGTAGACTTGACCCCGAGCTCAACAAAACACATATTGTTCTCATTCCTAAAGTTTCTAATCCAGAAAGTATTACCCAGTTTAAACCCATTAGCTTGTGTAACTTCAGTTACAAGGTTATCTCCAAGGTAATGGCGAATCGCCTTAAGCCTTGGCTCCAGAATCTTATTGCCTCAGAACAAAGTGCCTTTGTTAGCAGAAGACTAATTCAAGACAACATCTTAATAGTTCAAGAAGTCCTCCACCAACTGAGAATTAGGGAGATGAAGCGGAAGTTTCAGGCGATACTAAAGCTGGATATGCAGAAAGCATACGATAGAGTGGAATGGGATTTCTTATGTGCATATATGCTGAAAATGGGTTTTGGTGAGAAGTGGGTGTCATTGGTAAAGCAGTGTATCTCCACTGTCACATTCAGTGTCAAAATCAATGGGGAACCATTACACTTTTTCCAGCCATCTCGAGGAATCAGGCAAGGAGATCCACTATCTCCTTACTTATTTATAATCATGACTAATGTGTTCTCTTCTCTATTAAGCAAAGCAGTGGAGGACGGAAGTTTAAAGGGGATAAGACTGAACAGAAACTGCCCCACCCTGTCTCATCTCTTATTTGCTGATGACGCAATATTCTTTTTGGATGGAACTGTGGGGGAATGTCAGAATTTGGCGAACATTTTAAATCAATATTGCTTTGGTTCAGGACAAGCAATCAATCTGAACAAATCCGGGGTCTTCTTTAGTGCGGGCTGTCCACAAAGCCTGAAAAGTAACATGGCGAGTGCACTAAGAGTACCAGTTATGGAGAAAATCGGAAAATACTTGGGCATTCCCTCGGATTGGGGTCAAACTAAAAAACAGATGTTTGCATGGATTTTGGCAAGGGTAAACATGAAGATGGAGGGCTGGAAAGAGAAATTGTTATCTAAGGCGGGAAAGGAAACTTTGATTAAAACAGTAGTACAAGCGCTTCCTCAATATTCTATGTCGATATTCAAGATCCTTATCTCAGTGTGCAAAGCCATAGAGCAGCAGATAGCATCCTTTTGGTGGAAACAAAACTCATCCAAGTCCGGAATTCACTGGAAGAATTGGGAAACTCTCAAAGCAAGGAAAGTAGATGGAGGTTTGGGTTTCAAAGACCTTGTTACTTTTAACAAGGCGATGTTGGGCAAGCAAGCATGGAGACTCGCACAATCTCCTTCTACCTTATGGAGCTAGCTTTGAAAGGGATTTACTTCCCAAGAGGCAACCTATGGAATGCAAAAAAGGGCTCCCGACCTTCTTGGGGGTGGCAAAGCTTGCTTATAGGAAGAGACGCGATGAGTTCTGAATTAAAATGGGTGGTCGGAAATGGAGAAAGTATTGATATAAGAGAGGGCAAATGGCTAGAGTCCGGTGTTTTCGGGGTCCAGCCAATCGAGATGACCCCCAAAGAGTTGCAGATTTAATCGACCAAGGATCGAATATGTGGAAGGAACACCAATTGCAGGAGCTATTTGAAGAGAACATTGTGAAAGAAATACTTGCCATTCGGATTAGGCCGAACTTAGAAGGGGATCAACAAGTCTGGACAGGAAACACTACAGGGGAGTACTCGGTGAAGCAGGGATACAATAGACTACGCTCAACACTATCAAAGTCAGACATAGAACAAGCATCCTTATCATACCAGCCACCTCGGTCCCTATGGACTAAGATATGGAAGCTACAAACCGACCCTAAAATTCGCATTTTTTTGTGGAGCATGTGCCAAAATGCCCTACCCACGAAGGAGAACTTGTGCAAAAGGAAAGTAGTACCTGACCCGCTTTGTCCGATTTGTCAGAAGACCCCCGAAACTACTGAACATATTTTCGCCCTCTGCGACTGGACCAAAGCAATCTGGTCAGATCGAAGACTAAATGTGCAGGCATCTCCGATGAACATAACAAGGATAGACAAATGGGTAGATGAAGTGCTTATATCAAGAGCCGGTCCTTCTTCTCGAGAATGGGTTGCCGGAATTCTATGGCTAATTTGGAAAGAGCGAAACGCATTTGTATTCTAGAACAGACGACCCAACCCGGAAACCATTGTTGAAGATGCCCAAACACTAACCAACACCTTCCGCCGGTGGAACATTAATGCGCTGAATCGGTGGACGGAGAAGAAAATGCTACCCGAGCAATGGTCGCCACCAGCAAAGGGGGTATGGAGATTCAACTTGGATGGGTCTTGGATCGACGGCTCTGAAGAGGGATCGGCGGCGGGAGTGTGTCAAGATTACCGGGGAGTGATAATGGCTGGATTCGCAAAGAATTTTGCAGCTTCTTCAGCCCTTGAGATCGAAGCTCTAGCGCTGAAGGAAGCATTGGAGTGGCTGGTAAATACCACCGAACTTAGGCAAAATGGCGTGCTGCACGTGGAAGTTCTGACATATAATGAAGTTGTGGTTAAATTCTCAGCCGAACCAAGCCAAAGCCCATGGTACCTGAGGAGTTTTTTTTAGGATTGCAAAGAATTATTAGCTCAATTGAAAAGCGTTTCCTTAGCCCACTGCTCACGGGAAGCCAACAAAGTTGCAGATTGGACCGCGAAGGCCAATTGGAAAAGGATACTCCCATGTAATTGGCTATCTAAGCCACCCCAACACCTTTGGGATTTATTATGCCTTGACTCTTGTCTTCAACACTTGTTAAGTACCACTTTGAATGAATGAATGAAATGGTATCTAGTTGGACCAAAAAAAAAAAACAAGAAGCCAAAATACCACATGCACTCTAGGCTTGAACAACCCCAACATCGTTCTGTTACAGACGTTTTGGACGTGGGCGGTAGCAAAGTCTGAATCCCGATGGAGTTCATGGACGGAGAGGTCGTTGAAGGGGCGAGCTCGCCCTCATAAAACGCAACACGTTCTCAAAGGTCTCGACGACTTCCATTGAAGAAAGTTAGCTCACCGCGGCATAAGACCATCCAATATCATGATCAGCCGTGATGCATGAGCCCCGAGAGGATCAACACCGATCTCTTTCGTCGCGTGTATGACGATTACAGAGGTGACGATTGGAGTGTAGGCATTCGTGTTCCTGAGTTGCATCCGGGGAGATTTCCATCCGCCGTCGACCCACACGTCGCAACTTGATGACCGGAAGTGCCAATCGCGAAAAGCTCAGGCCCACGATTGCGCAGATACCGAAGCATCTATTTGCGCTTTGAAACAAGCTAGATCTCGTATCAAAATCATCTGTCACACATAGTCAATTTCACTGCGAGTGTAACCCTATAAAATAGTGAGGGAAATTATCCAAAAAGTCATAAACTTATTGTACTTTTGCCAATTCAGTCATAAACTTTTCAATTTTGTCAATTCATTCCTAAACATTTTTACCTTTTGTCAATTGAGTCCATCCGGTCAATTTTTGTCGGAAATTGCTAACGTGGACGCTGGTCATCTTACGTGGCACTATCGATGCTGATATGGATAATTTTTAATAATATTTTAATAATTTTCCGAATTTTTTTATTATTATTTTTTCTTTTCTTCACTTCCCCTTTGCTTTTTCTGATGGTAGCCGGCGAGGGCCGCCAGGCCACTCGCTGGCCATGGGGCGATGGTCGCCGGGCCCTCGCCGGCCCCGGGAAGAGGGTCGCCGAGCCCTCCCCGGCCATGGGCGACGGCTGGTACGCCCTCGCCTGCCATAGGTGAGAGGGTTGCGGCCTCGTTGGGCGAGGCCATCGCCGCCGAGAGCGAGGCTAGCCTCGCCCAGATCTGGGCAAGGCGGCCTTGCTCACGGCTGCGATGGTCTGGGCGAAACCAGCCTCGGCCACGGGCGAGGAGGAATCTTGGCAACGAGTTGAACCAGTCTGGCCTCGAGCCCCATGTCGTGGCCGAGCTCGAGCCGTCCAGATCTCGGGTCTCGTGCTTTGAGATTGTTATATCACGATGGATACCTAAGATTATAGTCGACACCGATGATCCAAAACAAGCACGCGATAAGTACAGCAATAGAAGACACGGGGAAAAAGATCATCGCCCATGCAGTTCTCTGGGATTAGTTTATTGAGGACAGCCTCCTCGTCTCCATCCTTCATCAACCTTTGAGATTCTCGAAGAGTTCCGGAAGATGAACGTTGGTGAGCTTCGTCCTCTTGGATTTAGGCCGCAAGCCTTCTCTGCATGGTGTTCGTCAATGGTTTCATCCCCTATTCTTCTGGAGATCCTTCTCGATGTCCATCATGTCCCGAGGTAATTCAATACTCCGAAAGAGTTGCTTCAGATCGTCATATACTTTTATGGGCACTTTCGGATCATTCGGGTCGGCAATATCCTCCTGAGAGTCGAAGTTCGATAGGAGCCATACTTGACCAGCAGTTTTCAAGGCCTGTATATATTTGTATATTTGTCTAAGAAATCAAGACGCATAACAAAGAACTCCATTTGTCGTTCCCCAGGCCAACAAAGATACGAAAATCATGTACTTTATGTAGAAGAAAAGACTCTCCTTTTTCTATTCAATGAATATGTTTTCTGTACATTTACAATGCTCAATCCTGTTATATATATATATGACATATAACAACCCTAATTAGGAGATATACAATAGGAAGGATTCTATACTAGGAAGAAATCTATATAATAAAAATACCTAATAAATATGCTAAAATAGCTCACGACCACACTCCCCCTCAAGTAGGTGCAAAGATGTCTTTGATACCCAACTTGATAAGTGAGCAATGAAATTCTTTACTTGACAGAGCCTTTGTCAATATATCAGCTAACTGGTCTTCAGACTTGACAAATGGTAACTGGATCACTTTTGCCTCCAAATTCTCTTTGATGAAATGTCTGTCAATCTCCACATGTTTGGTTCTATCATGCTTAACTGGATTATGAGCAATATATATGGCTGCTTTATTATCACAAAACAATTTGATTTCCAAACCTGGTGGATACCCGAGCTCAGTTAGCAGCTTTCGAAGCCATAGAAGTTCGCATAACCCCTTTGCTACACCTCCGAATTCGGCTTCGCACTAGACCGAGCTACAACCTTGTGTTTCTTACTTCTCCATGTAACAAGGTTGCCTCCCACAAATGTAAGATACCCCGATGTAGACCTCACATGCATCACACTTCCACCCAATGCGCATCGCATGTAACCTTCTATTTCAAGGTGGCCATTCTTTGCAAATAACAACCCCTTTCCTGGGCCGACTTCAAATATCGAATGATGCGCCACACAAAGACTCATATGATCCTCACTAGGTGCATGCATAAACTGACTCACCACACTTACTGCATGAGCAATATCAGGACGTGTATGTGATAAGTAAATCAATCGACCTACTAACCTTTGGTATTTCTCTTTATTAGTAGGCGTCTGATCAGGGTACTCTCCAAGCTTACAGTTTTGCACCATAGGAGTGTCTGCAGGCTTGCAATCTAGCATGCCAACTTCGGTCAAAAGATCAAGAACATACTTCCGCTGAGACAAGTAAATCCCTTCTTTCGACCTAGCAACCTCGATTCCCAGGAAATATTTCAAACCTCCCAAGTTCTTCATCTCAAACTCCATTGATAATAATTCCTGCAGTCTCATAATCTCTGCACTATCATTGCCTGTAATAATCATGTCGTCTATATATATGATAAGAGCTGTCATTCTTCCTTGAGCACCTTTTAAGAACAAAGTATGATCTGAGTTACTTTGGGAGTATCTATACCCTTTCATAGCTGAGCTAAAGCGACCAAACCATGCACGAGGGGACTGCTTCAACCCATACAATGATCTTTCCAACTTACGACCATGTTCGGCTTATCCGCACATCTCGTATCCGGTGGAAGCTCCATATAGATCTCCTCCTCTAAATCTTCATGAAGAAATGCATTCTTCACATCAAATTGATGCAAAGGCCGGTCCAAGTTTGCGGCCGGAGATAACAACACTCTTATAGTGTCTAACTTTGCAACTGGAGAGAATGTTTCCTGATAATCCACCCCATAAGTCTGTGTATACCCTTTAGCTACTAGTCGCGCCTTATACCTCTCAATAGTGCCGTCTGCCTTATGTTTGACTGTGAACACCCACCTACATCCAACCGGCTTTTTATCCTTTGGTAGTTCCACAAGTTTCCAAGTTCGATTTTTCTCCAACGCCTCCATCTCTGCCTCCATCGCTTGAAGCCATTTCGGATCCTTCATGGCTTCTTCAACCCTGTTTGGAACTTGAACTGAGGAAATCGTAAACACGAAGGCTTGTAGTGGTGTGGACAGCCTGTTGGCAGACACATAGTCTGCAATAGGGTATCGAGACCGGCGGTCCTCTACATCTGGAGAATATCGATTCGGTGGTTTACCCCTATTATGCCTATCGGGTACCTTATAACCAGTAAGCACATCAGTATCTTCAAAAGAATCAAGTACAGTAGAAGTACTTACCTCAGGTACATTCTCAGGAGCTTGGAGTGGTACTAAAGAGGGTGAAGAGGGCGAAGACAAGGAGGGCTGTTGCAGTTGTGCATCTGTTGACAGTTGCAGCTGTGCATCTGTTGACACCTGTTCGAACCCATGCCGTAATTCAGTGTTATCTGGTCGTGCATCCTCAGAATCATGCGGCAGTAGCTCAAAATCTTCGGCCTCAGCAGCCTCAGAATCATGTGCAACCTCAAAATCACGTGGCCGTGCGCACCCATCCGTCGCTCCTGCAATTCCTACCTCCCACCAATGTCTGGTTCTACAACTAGTCTCCCCCTGAACAGGACACTGGGGGGAAGGAAAATAGGACTCCGTCTCAATAAATGTTACATCCATGGTGACATACATGCGCTTCTCGGCAAGATCATAACACCGATACCCTTTCTGAGAAGGGCCATAACCAAGAAACACACATTTGACTGCACAAGGGTCAAGTTTGGTCCGCTGATTTTTGTGAAGATGGACATAAGCGACACACCCGAACACCTTAGGAGGCAATGTAAGAACCGAAGGAAGAGACACATGGGCAGCAAGTGCTTGCATTGGCGTGCGATAGCTCAGAATGCGGGAAGGCATGCGATTCAACAAATAAGCAGCTGTGACTACAGCAGAATCCCAAAAACGAT